AAAAATTATATTTTCTGAGTACAAAGAAAAATTATATATTATGCTGAAGTTTAATCATTTATTTTGTTAAAAATTTAAAAATCTATGATGAAAATATTATAACGTGTTAACAGTTTATATGCATTGAGAAATCTATTTGATATTATAAAATATAAATTAATATTTCTAAAAATTATGAATATGTTTACATAACCATAATCATTATATTTACAAATACAAATAACCAAATAGCTAATAAGAAAACATAATTATAAGAAAACATAAATACTAAATTAAATTATATTTTAAATAATAAAATTATATTATTCAATTAATTTTTGTTGTTTTAAGTTATTTTAAATCTAAGCTAAATTATTAATACAGACTCGCGCGTAGCGCGAGTATAAAATCTAGTTAGAAATAAAAAGCCGATATTTGAAAACATTGGAGCACTTGGTTTAATAGTCTTCATTACACTTCAAACTAAACTATTAATTCAGTAGTAGAACCGTAAAAATATTTCGATAGGATAATACAAAACTGACCTGTTTCTCTGCTTCACCTTCAGGCATCATTGCCCAACACTCACTTCCGATGAATGTAAGATCTTTAACTCTGACCTGCAGCAAAAATACTGCTTGTAAGCCTGCAAACAAACCACATAATCAACTGATACAGCCTATGTGTTCAATTTGCTAGGCTTTACTAGTTTTTTCTCTGAGTTGTTTATCTTTTCTTAAATTTCGATGAAGATAACATCAATATCTTCTCTGCCAGCAGCATGGAACTTGTAGGAATCCCCAAGGCGTGCAGGAAGAATACTTCCATCAATTTATCTCCTGAAAAATGATATATAACGATCTCTTAAGTCACCTCTTATTTATTAGCATTAATATATACACAATCAGTCAATTCTCACAGATGAATAATGAGGAGTTCAAAAAAACAAATTCAACCAAGTAATGAATGACTGTATAGTCTCAACATACCTTTTCTCCTCTTCTTTCTTTCATGTGTTGTTCCAGACACACCTTGAGCCTCATCTGATGCCTTGGAGTATGTCAAACGGATGTGAAAAGAGCTTGAATCTGATCTAGCGCCCTGCACAACCACATCATGCAAAGACTTCAATCTCAAAGGTTTTGTTATCTTGCCACAGATTTAGTTATTTATAAAATCATCTTGCATAAGATACATAGGTGAACAGTTCACAAAACAGAGCACGAACTCACCAAAGAGGCTCTAAGTGGATCCAAGAACTTTCAAAGCATCCTTTACAGAAATCTTTTCACTCTGCAGCCAGCTTTCGTCGCTATACTTTCCTTTAAGGTATAACCTAATACACAATGGTGGAAACATCAAACAGTTTGAGCAAAAAAAAAAGAGGTATATACTTTCTGCAAGTGAAGCTTACAAGACTGCACGTTCATTCTCCGAGATAGTTAATGGCAAAGAGACTTAAAGACCAAAGGAATCGAACACATGACTTTCCTCCTTCACCAAGTCATTGATCCTTGCAACGTAATCACTACTACAATCCGATTTCACCAGCGTCTGTTCAGCATTGGAGAAAACGAACTGCAACACACCTAAACAAACAATGCAGATTCTAGACTCCGATGAAGCAGAAGCTTCATCTTCATTCGGAGAAGGCGGCTTCTACCAATGAGCAGTCAAATTGCAGTGAGTAGGGTCCATAATTTTTAAATATATAAATAGTTGACTTTAAAGCAACTTGGGTGTTTAGTTTAGTGGTAGAATTCTCGCTTTGGGTGCGAGAGGTCCGGAGTTCGATACTCCGAACGCCCCATTTTTTTTTGTGTTTTAACTTTTTTTCTATCAGTTTAATTTGCAGTAAATAGGGCCCATAATTTTTAAATATTAAATAGTTTATTTTAAAGCAACATGGGCGTTTGTTTCAGTGGTAGAATTCTCGCTTAGGGTGCGAGAGGTCCCGAGTTCGATCCTCGGAACGCCCCATCTTTTTTTTAGATGATTGATTGCCTAAAGTTTAAGCCCTGCGCAGTGCACAACTGCACACGATTAGAGATAAAAAAAAAAAGCCGACGTTACGGCCATGCCCGGGAACTACATTAACTATTACCCATCCAGGTTCTTTATTCTAAAGACAGAACCAAAATCGATGATAAGTCAAATTTTGATTAAAAAAAAGAGAGAAAAAAAATATCGTATAAGGTCTATTATCCCCACTAATTACGATAATTCAACAAACGGTTTCACTAATCAACCAAACAGGAATGATCATGGGATTAATGACCTAATTGAAATCAAATCTTACTTCAAATTGCATATCATAATACTCAAATTGAATAGACTGGTCAGGTGAACTACCAAACAATCACGTGACACTTTCAAATCTAGTTTCCACTTCCGAAATCGAAATATGCATAGTGCAGTTGGGTTTAACCTTTATTACCAATAATGTAAAAATCTCTTACATTCAAAACGCAGTTAAAGTGTTCGATGAAATGCCTCAGACAAATCCCCCAAGCCTAACCTCGTTGACTTCGAACCAAAACTCAATCTCCGGTCACTTCCTATCTTCCCCGAAAAGCAGACGGAGTCGAGAAGCAAAAACACCGGTAGAGTCAATCGACGCTTGATGCAAAAGATCGCTCTTGATTCTCCCCAAACGTTCCGTCAAAGTATCGCTCTCCTTCTTGAGAACAGCAGTGTCTTCCTCCAGATCGTGGATTCGGTACTTCTGACTTACGGATCGGAAGCTAAGAAGCAAGATCCCAGTCATCGCGGCGAATTGGAAGAAGCTTTGCTTGTTTTTCTTCACGTTCTCGAAAAATCCGGAAGCTACGGCGGTTAACGCCTTCGCTGGGTCTTTCCCGGTGAGAGGATCGAGAGATCCTTGTGGAGCAGATGAAGCCATTTTGTGTGTGAAATGAACGAGAATGAGGAAAGGAGGCGAATCTGAGGAGAGAGTCTGAAAAGGGTTTTCTAAAGATTTGGGCTTTGAAACCCAACAGAGGCCCAACAATAAAACAACTTTAACAAGATTTAGGCCTTTTTCTCTATTGTTGACCTCTGATTGAATGGGAAGGGTTGAAGATGCCTAAGACACACAGATTTTAATTCACTGAAGATGGATTAGAGGAACATTTTGAATGCAGCACGTTTGTGTAACAACGGATTACTTATCTCCTTTGATATCTACAACTTCTTTGATTTTTATTGTTGAAATGACCATCAAAGACACCATAGATTTTTTTTAAAAATATAGGAACAATAAGATATGAATGGATTGCATAATGGAACAAATGGCTGTAACGTATATAGTTATCCTAACTAGAATTATTAGATCTACTTCTGAAAGCAACTCAACACTAATTATAATATTTTCAAACAAATTATGAAACATTAATTAAAAATCTGATGTCTGATTGCTACACTCTTTGTCTTATTTATTTTTATCATATTTTCTTTCAAATTTATGTCGGTATTATTACTCTTTGTTCTTAATCAGTTTTGAGTCTTTGACAGTGATTCATCTTGAAAAATAATAGTATACTAGATCTTTACCCGCGCAACCGCGCGGGTATTACTTTCAATTTTATATACATATGTTATTTATTTTATGAATATATATTTTTAAAGTTGAACATATATTTAAATGTTTATATAAATGTATTGTTAGTTTTAAGATGTTCTTATGTATTAAGAGAATGAAAATGGAAATTAAATATGGTTGTTAAGATTTTATTATACAAATACAAAAATAAGGTTACAACTTTTCTAAGAAAATGTCCATTTTTAAAAAAATCACACATGAAGAGAAGTTGTGACTTCTCATGAGAATTTTTTTGTGGGGCAAAATCTCAAGAAGCCAGATGGGACATGCTGAAAGGTCTTAACATTTAGTATTTGTTTTAACAATTTTCCAAAGGATGTCATCACTCATCACTTGAAACTCTTGCAAATACGAGGTGACCATGTGGACAGGAGTATGACACCGTAATAACCAAATGTATACAAGGAGAGTTTTATGGAGCTATCAAATGAACATTACACACATAACTCGAAATATTACTTAGAAACCATATGCGAACTTTAAAACAGAGATACTTAAATTACAATAACAACGATGCAGAATGCAAACCAACGAAAGACACAATCTTACAGAAACAGATTAAAAGATAAATAACAGAGAAAAAAACACATCAAGTATCCCACTTCAGCATCATTATATTATTTAATCTTTCTTAAGCATGAGACTCTTTTTCCTTCTTCTCCTCCTCCTCTCCAGTGCTCTTAGCATGATAACCTGGAAGCTTCTCTTTGATCTTTTCAAGAATCCCTTTCTTCTCCTCCGGATGCACCGCCGTCTCCTCAGTCACTGGTACTGCAGCCTCCGTGTTAACGACTTGAGAATCCTCTGGTTTTTCGCTGTGACCTGGAAGCTTCTCCTTGATCTTCTCCATCACTCCCTTCTTCTCATCTCCTTCAACGGTCTTCTTCTTCTTCTCCTTCTTTCTCTTCACACCGTCTTCACCTTCTTCCTCGCTTGACTGTTGAAGATTAAAAATATTAAGTTATTTAACCAAAAACTATAAGCTTAACAAAATTTTATAAATATATTTTTTTTAGTTCCAGGAGGTTTTGGGCACTTTGGTCAAGTATTATAAATATATGTACGGACTGAATTAACTACTTACTGAGGAGGAAGAGCTGTTGGATCGGTGAAGCTTATGTAAGAGACTGGGCTTGTTCTCTTCTTCCTCCTCGTGCTTCTGGTGAAGCTGCTCGATGAGGGTAGGCTTATGCTCAGGTTCTGTGATCTGAGCTTTATGCTCCACCTCCGACGCAAGCGGTGTGGTCGTCTCTTGAGGCTTCACTTCCTCCTTCTTTCCCAAGAAATCAAACAAACCACGATCCTTAACCTCTCCTGTTGCCGCAGATGTTTCCTCCGTGGTGGTGATCTTGGGGGTCTCGTGTTCGGGGACGTTCTTGTACTCTTCAGCCATAGTTAGTTAGTTACTCTTGATCAAATGATAAATGAGAAATGATAATCAGAGAATATGAGAGCTTTAACTTTGCTTTTAAGGTGATAGTAAAGAGCTGTGATGAGTATTGTGATGAGAGACAGAGAGTGGGTTTTATAGTGTGAGCTTGAGGTTGAGGGTCCATGCCAACGCGGAGGTTACGCTGTAAAGATTAAATGATTTTTTAATATGGCAAAGTGGTTGTTTTGTTTTTCTTAAACTGCATAATGGTCCTATTTTCTTTAAGTCGGTAGACTAGAATGTCATCAAAATCATCTCATTATTTTTCTTAGTTTATAAGGATATGTTTTACTATATAGTTGAAAAGCTAAACCAGATATTGAATATTGCATACTCTCGTGTACTTTATATCTATGGGAGATTGGTTACGTGGTTGAAGTGCATCCTTTTAGTTTATTTTAGTGGCGTTGCATAGTATTAATTTAATTAGATAAGAGACACATATCTAAAAGAGAGTTTGATCGGAACATCATTAATCTTTTCTTTGTTATGTTTGGATTATAACTTTTGTTTTTTAGAGTCTTCTCATACTTGTATAAAACTTACATTAAGAGAGTATGTTGAAAGACAAAAAATGGTTTTGACATATGTAATTCAATTAGGGAATGCAGGTTTCCAATGCTACCCAGATTCATCAGATAAAAAAATTAAAGGTTAGTTTCCAATTGTATTAAGGCCTTTTCACGTTATATTTGTAAGATGTAAAAAGTGCTATACTCTTTAAATAAATGAGTAAATGTCACCGAACTATTTAACATACTTTATAACTAGCCATTACTATCACGACACGTCTAAATAAATAATCACTCGACGTAGAAAAAAATAGTAAAATCGATGCAGAAAAAATAGATAAAGCCAAAGTAGACACATGGCTGAAGAGCGTTACAATGGCCCGCACCAGAACTTAAGGTCGGTTTTGATAGGCTTACTGCATGAATGTCGGTAATGTGGGGTCACTGGATTCGTAAGCCACGTCGCAGAAGATAGGTTTAATAAGGCAATAAATTATATTTATAAGACGTTAAAAGAAATAGGAAAATACAGATGCAGCACATATATCATAATAAAATATTATTGACGAAGGTATGAAATTATTTTATAAGTAATTTTAAAAAATCGACGTTGGGGGTCAAACATTCAAATAATTAAAATGTATGAAGCTGTATGCTCCTGGTGTCACTTTCGTCTTCTCTGGTTATATCCATTACAGAAGACATCTTTATCATTGTATTTGAATAAAATTGTAAACAGATGGAGCCATTGAGAACTGAGAAGGCGCCATTTTGGAATCTGCTAAAATTTATTATATTATGAGTCGTGTTCGGTTGAAAGATTCAAATCGACGTGCCACATAATAAATTGAGAGGTTTCATGTACACGCGACCCGTAACATTACCGAACTTTGTAATTTAGGCATCATAAGGGCGGTCACTACACCGACACATAACAAACAAAGCAATCGTTTTGGCTGCTAGTTTGGGGAAATTAATTTGTTTACTTTTGCCAATTTTTTTTTATTTAATTTGATCGCAAACAAATAATTGAGTGCATCAAGTTGAACCCTCCAGATCAAAATGATATTACACGAACCAAATAACGAGATGTATTTGATCTAAAAAATGAATGCAATGAAATTTTTTATAGCAATCTAATATATAGTACAGTATAAGTTTCTTACTTTTCATCTTTCATTTAAATAGCTGAAAAAGTAAATCAGATCAAAGCATATTCATCCAAAACATATCGGAATCAAACTAATATAATTTACAAAATTGAAAATACAATAGAAATGGATCAAAATCCACTCATGAGTATATTTTAATAGTTATTCAACATATTGATGGCAGTATATATATATATAGTTCTAATATTTGTGATTATTCTTTATCTGAATTCAACATGTAATGCAGTCGAGAAACCCACAAACAAATGTGTACAAATTTATTGTAGAACCACCATAGTTTGTGGCTAAACGTAACCATAGCTCGTTCCTCATGGCGAAATTCTTGAGTCACCTTGCATATATTTGTGTTTGAGTGTATATTTTTGATCTATAGATTAAAATAACACAACATCGAATACAACTTTCTCTTAAAACTAATTTCTGAGAATAAAGAGACAATTGTACCCCAAAGCTAAAACAATTTTATTGAGTAAAAATACAAATGATCTACCTCCACTTACTTCCGTACACGTTACGGCAACTTTTCCATCAACCAAAAACTCAAGTTTCTAGTTTTTAAATGGTCTCGAAAGGCCCATTTGTACTTGCGTAACACATCAGTTACTCATTAGCCTATGGGCTGTCCAAAATTCGGGTCGGGTCAAATCTGATAATAGATCCGAAAAGTTCTAACTCGACCCGACGAGCATTGTTGGATTCATGGATTTCAAACCGTATCCACAGAACTGATCCTCAAACGCAGAGATGATAACAAAATAGAATCTAGCTGAGCAGCTGAAGGAGTTTACCGACATGTTCTTGCCTTTTTATGCTTGACATGAGTTAAGCTTTGATACTTTCTTATCTCTTACAACCATGATTGAGTTCTATGATGTTTGAGTTTTTCTTTTACTTATTAAAGGTTCACTAACATACTCTCATGCTATTTGGTGGATGTTGTAGTCTTTGTTATATGGGAGCTTGTCATCTTAGCTTTTATAGTGTTTTCAGCTGTTTCCTTGTACTTCAAGCGACTGTAACTCGCGTTAGTCCTTCCTATGTTTCGCTTTGCTACTACTTGTTGGCATGAAGGTCACAAAGCAAGTGAGACTAGCAACGAAGAAGAAGCGAAGGATGCTTCCTCCATTGTCAATGTAAAGAAAGACTAAGAAGTTGCAATGTTTTTTTTGTCCTATTTGGCCCACAAAACTCACCTCCTCGTTTCACCCTGCTGACCCAGTTAGGCGTTTAGCTGATGAAGATGACAGTATTTTCACGGCTTTGGCTTTAGAGACCTTAGAGTTTGGGGGTTTTAGAGTCTGACAATCACTTTAATGATTAGCATTTGGCTGCAATATGGTTTCTTTCAGAGAAAGTATGTGTTGGTAATAAAAGAGTTACCTCTTTGATGTGTAATTGTGGTTGTAAAATCAGATGAATGAAAAAAATAAAGTATCGGAAGCTTTGAAAAAGGTTGCATTTAGCTGCTTTATTTGATAAAATTTGTCATAACCATCAAACACTACAAGAAAACTCGTCCATTATTAGGGCAGGTTTTCCTCGTTAGTTCCTAGTAAATGACCTTTTACTAGGAACTTACGAGGAAACGCGTTTCGTCGAAACACGTTCATCGTAAAGCCTTTTTCCTCGTAAAGTCGTAGTAACCACTTTCCTCGTAATTTCCTAGTAACCATTTTCCTCGTAATTTCCTAATAACCACTTTCCTCGTAATTTACTAGTATCCACTTTCCTCGTAATTTCCTAGTAATGCTTTACTAGGAATTTACTTTGAAATATTTTTCCCTATTAAAAAAAATAATTAAAATAAATATAAATAATATATTTAAAAAAAATTAAAGAATCCAAATTATAAATAAAAAGAAATAACAAAATATTCTATAAATAACTAAATATTTAAGTTTTAAATTCATATACAATTAAAGAGAAAAAAAACTAAACTACGGATGTTGCTCGTTAAAATTGACGAACGAAGTCGTCATCCCGGCTCGATAACTAGTATCACTAATATACTAGTATCATTTAAAAAAAACAGTTAAAAAATTAAATTAACCTAATCTAAATTCCATATCCCTAAACTAACCACCTAATCTAAATTCCCTAATCTAACCACCTAATCTAAATTCCCTAAACTAACCACCTAATCTAAATTCCCTAATCTAACCACCTAATCTAAATTTCCTAATCTAACCACCTAATCTAAATTCCCTAATCTAACCACCTAATCTAAATTCTCTAATCTAACCACCTAAGTAGGAAATAGAGAGAACCTTAAGAGAATTCAGAGAGAAGCTTACTACAAATGAGAAATCGGATTGCTCGAGTTTATATAAGGAATTTTGTTTCCTCGTAAGGTCCTAGTAACATTACTAGGCCTTTACGAGGAAATAGCTATGCCCGTGTTTTTATTTCCTCGTAAAGTCCTAGTAATACCATTACTAGGACTTTACGAGGAAACTGCTTTACTAGGAAATAGCTATGCCCGCGTTTTTTTCCTCGTAAAATCCTAGTAATGTTATTACTAGGACTTTAAGAGGAAACAACTATGCCCGCGTTTTCTCGTACTAGGGATTTACGAGGAAAGGGTTTGTAAATCCCTAAACTCGAAACCCCAAACCCCAAACCACAACTTCCTTAACTTATAACCTCTTCTACAACCAAACTCCTAACCTCTTCTACACCTAAACCCCAAATTTTCAAAACTAAACAACCTAATATAAGTTCCCTAAACTAACCACCTAATCTAAATTCCCTAAACCCTNCGAGGAAAGGGTTTGTAAATCCCTAAACTCGAAACCCCAAACCCCAAACCACAACTTCCTTAACTTATAACCTCTTCTACAACCAAACTCCTAACCTCTTCTACACCTAAACCCCAAATTTTCAAAACTAAACAACCTAATATAAGTTCCCTAAACTAACCACCTAATCTAAATTCCCTAAACCCTAACCTTAAACCTACACCCTAAACCTAAACCAACTTCCATAACTTATACCTATACATCTTCCTAAACCCCAAATCACAATTTTTTTTTAAAAAACTAAAAGAAGTATACAGTCATCGGAACGGTTTTTATCAACCCCACATAGCTTTCCTCGAACTATCTACCTGAAGAAAAGCCCCAAGCTATTTCTTTGAGGAAAAGCTACGAGGAGTTGATAAGAAACTATTATGTTGACTGTGAACTCCTTTCAGTTATGAATTGAGTATTTTCTATTTTTTTGGTGTGTTTCNATGCCCGCGTTTTTTTCCTCGTAAAGTCCTAGTAATGTTACTACGACTTTACGAGGAAATTGTTTTCTCGTAAGTATACGAGAACCTTACGAGGAAACATGGTTTCCTCGTAAACTCGAAGTAAACTCGTAGTAATTTTACGAGGAATTATTTTCCTAGTAAAGTTTCCTAGTAAATGCTTAGTTTTCTTGTAGTGAAAAACCATATTGAATGTGATAAATAATTGAAACTTTAACGGACTAACTCATATTTTCAACTTGTTAACCAACCAAACCTGATTATGTTATGCTTTCTCCAGTTAAAAATAAAATTTAGATGCACCATTGTTAATATCAATCATGTCCAGCATGTTTATGATTCTCTCGTCATGTCCATCTACCTCAACCATGAGATTTTGTTTTGAAAAATCATCTACAAGGACCACAAAAGAGCACCAAATAGAAACTATAACGGTGTAATACTCGTAGCTGCATAGTTGAAAAGTGAAGGCTTGTAGGATTTCATGTGAGTTGGAAAAAGACAAGAAGAAATTAAAACAAGGGAGATAGATACACAAGAAAGTGAAAATTAGAGAAGTTGAGGACGTGAATATATCCAAAAAGCAGCAGCAATTTGCTCTAAACGGTCACATCTCACATGCTCTATTCTTGTCACCACATCTCCTTTTACCTTCTCACAAACTAATACTTTGTGGTCTCAATTATATGTAAAATTTAGTCGACCACTCGCAATTAAATAATTAATACAACCTGACCTTTTTATTATCAAGTTTTAAAATGCAATCAATATTTTAAACATTGAAGTTTTTAGTATTATCATAGCCTTATATTATATATTGTTGTTGCAGAAAGGATTGCATTCATTAGTCCATGTAATTCAAAAAGATTCATTATTGAAACATTTATTTAATTTTATAAGAGTATCTTTTGTTTCATTTGTTATTTTATTATTTAACTAGTAAGATATAAATATCCTAGTTTTTGGGTTGTCTCAGTCTTCTGCCAACAAATTACTTGTTTATGCTGCAAGACCATAAATACATAATAAAATATTTACATTGGTCACATGATAAATTTCTAATCTTTTTAACCCAAATAATAAAAAAATCACTCAGCTACCTTACTCCTTCCACTCAGCTACCTTGCTCCTTCCACATATTCTTAATCCTTCTTTTTGGCCACAAACACTAATCACATTTTGTAGTATATATACATGGAGAGAGGGGAAGTTATAGTTTCAGATAGTAACAGACTAACAAACAATATACACAACGGTATTATATTGGTAAACATCTCAAAGAGCAGAGAGATCAAAGTCAAAGCAATGAAGGCAGGATCTTGCAAGAGTCTTAGACTCACCGATATGATGGAAAAGTGGAGGAAGTGGAAGAAAGGACACTTCTCTGTGTACACCAGAGATGGCAGGAGGTTTGTTTTGCCGTTGGATTACCTGAAACATCCAATTTTTCAGGTCTTGTTGGAGATGGCAGAGGAAGAGTTTGGTTCCACCATTTGTGGCCCTTTACAGGTTCCTTGCGATGGAGGTTTGATGGATCACATCCTCATGCTGCTGAAAAAGAGGAGTTTGTATGGTCATGGTGATAATGAGGATGATGATGATGATGATGTGAAGAAGAACCATGTTGTGCCGTCCGTGAGTATGTCCTGCAAAGGAGCTTCATCGGTTTCATATATCTTCCCTCTCTTTCGTTGTAACGCAGCCCATGATCTGAACAAGCTTCAGTCTTTAGTTCTGTAACACTCACTTTTACAGGCGAAAGTCTTTTCTGTTTGTAAGTATATATAGAGAAACATAGTTTTTATATAAGCCATGCAGTTTGTATATCAATATATTCAGTTTTGTCAAAGATTTATTACGAAGAACTCAATTATCGCATAACAAACTTTTCTAGAGGCATTGATGAGACATGTTAAGAGCAATACTAATTACTGTATTACTGCTGCATCAAAATATCTTGTGAGCAAGCAATACTGCCTCTAGTTTAGCTTGGAGCAACCTAACTAACATTTTAACCATTAGCAAAACCACCAAATTTACAATTTCGGATGATTCATGCATTAACCAAGATCAAACTCAAGTTGTTTATATGTATTATCATCAACAACAAAAGACAATCCTTCACTATCAAATGCAACAAAAGTCTCCAGTTTTCAACCATCCTTCCGAATCAATAGTAGATGATGTAGCTAAAGAAGAATCAAATTGTCCCGAGTGACACATTAACCGATTACGTTACCGTAAAAGCCCATTCTACTATACAGATTTTGAACCTTTGACCCATTGCGTCTTGGGCCTCATTGCACAACAAAATTAGCTTTGTATAGTTAAACGTTAAAACGCGAAATTAATTCCATTATTCATCTTGTAAGGTCATGTCATATAACACGTACCAGCTACATCATTTTCTAAAACGAATTTTGACATATACTATAATTTTTTGTTTGATCAAATTTAGGTAAAGTGTATACTGACTAAACATGTGGTGGCCGACCGTGGATGGTACGATGCAACCACTCCATGATGCAGATGTAGTTGAGTATTATCTGACTGGTCCTACTCGATCTTGACAAGTGACAAAATTGATCAATTGATTATTTTTTATATTTGATCTTCTTATACACATGAGTAAAGTATATAAATCTACTTTTTCTGTAAAGAACCTAACCAATCCGGTTCAACTTCTACCAAACTAGGCTGGATGTGCTACAACATGTCCCTTAATCGTTATAAGCTGCGAACTGTGCCAAAATGGCTAAACCTAAAGATGCTCTGAAAGGTCTGTTGCATCATTTTTTATCTGTGGAAAATTCATCCATTTTCATATATATTCATGACAAGGTAGACAAAAAGAAAACACACTTTAGCAATTTGCCTCTCAACATTTTTATGAGTCTCCAAAATACAACTAGTAAAAGTGAGAAATCTAGCAAAATAGATGCTTTCAAAGTTTAGAAGTGGCGAGCTTGATTAGATCCTTACGAAGTGTTTTGCCGGATGCAGTCTTTGGTATGGAGTTTATAAATGCGACCTTTCTTATTTTTTTATACGGTGCCACCTGCTCAAAAGTTTAACGTTTTTTATTTTCTTACCAACTCTTTAAAAACAACTACTACATATATAGTAGATGGTATTGACAGAAGTACCTGTTTAGAGATGAAGTCAATAACTTGTTTCTCAGAGAGGTTGCTCTCAACCTTTCGTGCCACGTAAGCCATTGGATACTGTCCTGCTTCTTTGTCAGGAAACCTTAAAGAAGAAAACTTCATGTTACTTTGATGTTTAAATGGCAAAGATATTCAGTGGAAAACGTAGTGAACGTAGAAGATTACTTACGGAATTACGGCGGCATCGAGAATGTCTGGATGAGTGATCAGGAGAGCTTCTAGTTCAGCTGGAGGCACCTGATTATTCAGTCCAATTTTGCTTTTAGAATTTACAACATTTGATCCATATATAATTAACCAAGATAGATCTTTAACCTGATAGCCTTTGTATTTTATTAGTTCTTTCAGTCGATCCACGACAAAAACAAAACCATCCTCATCGATATAGCAAAGATCTCCAGTTTTTAACCATCCTTCGGAGTTGATGGTTTCATTCGTAGCTTCTTGGTTTTTAAAATAACCTTGTAAGAAAGAAAAAAAAACACAATGGTTTTATGTGTTGCATGAACGAAGAGAGATTTAAGATTTTCATTTTTTCTGTTTTCACATAGAATACATATATAATCTTAACTGCAACAATGCCATTCATTTTCTCTAATAATTAACACCTACTTCATTACAAAGTCTAAATCAATTAATTTTTTAAAATCTAGTTTCTTTTGAAAAAAAATGTGTCGTGTTCTTCAACTAACACATATTCATTGCAACTATTTTCTCTACGAAACATCCAGTTGAAAAAAAAAAAAAAAAAAAAAACATCCAGTTGACATATACGACAAATCAATTGGTACGTACCTGACATTTTTGTGATCGTGTACAATAAATACAAAAATTTACTACTCACTCAGTCCAACCCTACTCATGCAACGTCCATTACTACATGAAGGCTTGAATCACATCCAAGTTGTTCAATAATTAAAAAAAAAATAACTCTATCATAATTGAATTATAGAACTGAATTAGATCGTGCTACCACTAACCAACTTGAATACTAACATTTAACATATACACTATATGTGTTTAACTGTTTACCTTTTGCAATAGTCGGTCCCTTGAGCCAGAGCTCACCCGTTTGATTAACTCCCATTAACCGACCCGTACCCGGATCCACAATCCTCGCCACCACATCACACGTCAACAACCCCGACGTACCGAACCTCCTGCTATCCTCCACCGTATCAATAAAAGCCCCTCCACCGTTTGACTCAGTCAACGCATACGCTTGAAATATATGAACCGTCGGATACTTCTCCCTAAACCCTTCCGTTGCCTCCTTACTCAACGGCGCTCCACCACACCTCACTGTTTTAAGCGAGCTAAGATCATACCTCTCCTTGATAGAATCAGCTTCGTTGACCATAGCCACCAGAACAGGCGGCGCCAGAAGCAGAGTCGTGGCTCTGTACTTCTCCACCGCCGCCATCATGTCGTTGAGCTCGAATCTCCGGAGGATCACCACCGTGGAGCCGATGGCTACTGTAGCCATAGCGAATGTCAAGAGTCCGAAGGTGTGGAACATAGGGACTGTGCAGATGAACGTCTCGCGCATTGATTTCTCAGTGACCATTCTCGCCACGTAAGCAGTTAAGTTCTTGTGAGTAGAGATCACTCCTTTGCTCGGTCCTGTGGTCCCCGAGGAGTAGAGCATAACCGCCGTGTCGTCCGAGTTGACTCGGTCTCTGACTCGCTCCCCTCTCGGCTCCTTCTTCATCATCTCTGACACGACGCCGACGACTCCGCGCGTGTTCTCCACGCGCTTCTCGTCGACTTTTTCAGTGAGGACGATGGAGATACCGGCGGGGAGTTTCGGCGCCAGGTCGGGAGTTGTGAAGGCGAGCGTGGGGTTGCTGTCGGCGGTCTGTTTTGATATCTCGCCGGCGGTGTTGAGAGTGTTCGCGGTGGTGACGACGGCGCCGAGAGACATGACGGCGAGGCAGACGACGGGGATGTAGATGGAGTTGGGGGCGAGGATGAGGACGACGTGGCCTCTACGTATTCCGACGTCGTGGTGGAGACAGTCCGCGACGCGTTCCACGGCGTTCCAGAGATCGGAGAAGGTTAAGCTGTGGCCAGTGGCGGCGTCGATGAAAGCGGTGGTGCCGCGGTGAGGCTGAGAGGAGATGAAAGTTGTGACGTCGAGGGAAGGGTTTGCTGGGAGGGACAATGAGTTGCGTTTAGGGTAGAATGTTGAGTTTGATTTGCAGAAACCACTTCTGGAGTCGATGAGAGATCTAAGAGGTGAAGGATTCGACATTTTCTTTAGGTGTATGCTTTGTATGAGTGAAGAAGGATCGATTGAGTTAGCAGGGCTCACTGATATAACAATCAGTTAAAAAGGAAAGTCAAGAATGTAATTATAATGTTTTTACTACTTTGAGAAGTGGTGGTTGTAGGGATTCCAAATGTTTTTGTTTTGTTGCTAGGGCTACTCCGATCTATCTGTATATATTTATTGGATATCTAAATACTTCACAAACATGCCCTAAAATATTACTTCCGCTTTTCTCATCGTTGTAATAGCAATTAACCAGATGTTTAAAAAAACATTACTTCCACCGGTATTCTAACTAAGATCGGGCTAAGATCGGGCATGTTTATTAGAAATTCATATGATTTGACATTTTTTTTTAAAAAAAATATTCTTTCGAGGTTTGCTAGACTCTTGTAATTCCTTGAAGGGTGTAACATTTTGAAATAAAGAGCCAGAGAGAATCTTCATATAAACTGTTCAACATTTATGCTCTTGCATTTTTCTCTTATTGAAAAATAAAATACCATCACCAGTATAAGAAGTGAAAATCCAGCAAAATAGATCATTTCAAATTTTAGAAGTGGCGAGTTTGATTAGATCTTTACGAAGTGTCTTGCCGGATGCAGTCTTTGGTATAGAGTTTATAAATGCGACTTTTCTTATCTTTTTATACGGTGCAACCTGCTCATCAAATTAACAAATTTGTATCGTTTAGAAATTGATTTTCACCACCCAAAAATAACTAAGCTATAGTGCATAGTATATACATACGTATATAGTTTTGTGATTTCAGTGGTACCTGTTTAGACACGAAGTCAATAACTTGTTTCTCTGATAGGTCGCTCTCAAGTTTTCGTGTCACGTAGGCCATCGGATATTGTCCAGCTTCTTTATCAGGAACCCTTTTTGATAGACAAAAGAGGAAATAAATAAAAGATAAACTTCACGTTGTTATTTTTCAAAAGTAAAAGCAGTTATGTAAATAGGTTTACGGAATAACAGCGGCATCTAGAATGTCTGGATGAGTAACCAAGAGAGCCTCTAGTTCAGCTGGAGGTACCTATTAGCCAAAATTCAAACCATTACATAATTTGAGCCTTTTAAAATTTACACCATTGATTCAGGTACAATAAAATATAAATCTTTAACCTGATAGCCTTTGTATTTTATCAGTTCTTTCAATCGATCCACGACAAAAAGAAACCCATCTTCATCGATGTAACAGATATCTCCGGTTCTTAGCCATCCTTCCAAATTAATGGTTTCATTTGTTGCTTCTTGGTTTTTAAAATAACCTTATAAGCAAAAATAACTATTAGAAACAGTCAAATAATAATTCGTTTATTTGTGTATCGTTCCAATAGATATTTATACTTTTTTTTGTCAAGTTTTGTAGATAACACTTGCATACGCTAACCATATGCTAAATCTCTTACTACCTAACATTTTAAAATCAAGCTAAACATTAAAAAAAGATCAACAACTCACGTGAAATGAACCATATAATAAAAGACATTCCTACCTAAAAACTAAAAATATAATCAAAATTTTAATATATTTATTATATAAAGTTGATCATAATAAAATATTATACCTTTGGCAATAGAAGGCCCTTTGAGCCAGAGCTCGCCCGTTTGGTTGACACCCATGAACCGACCCGTATCCGGATCAACAATCCTCGCTTCCACACCGGACGACAACAACCCCGCCGAACCGTATCTCCGACTCTCCTCCACCGTATCAACCGAAGCTCCCGCGCCATTAGATTCCGTCAAAGCATAACCAGCTAAAATATCAACCGTTGGATATTTCTCCAAGAACCCTTCAGTCACCTCCTTACTCAACGGCGCTCCACCGCACCTCACCCTTCTCAGGGAGCTCAGATCGTACTTGGCCCTGATCGCATCCGCTTCGTTGATCATAGCCACAACGACAGGCGGCGCCAAAGCCAGAGTCGTGGCCCTGTACTTCTCAACCGCTTCCATCATACCGTGGAGGTCGAATCTCCGTAGGATCACCACGGTCGAGCCAAATGCTACGGTCATCATATTGAAGCACAGTAGTCCATAGGTGTGGAACATCGGAACGGTGCAGATGAAAATTTCTTCACCTATCGGTTTCTCCGAGACGAATCTTGCCACGTTGGCTGTTAAGTTCCGGTGAGACGTGATCACTCCCTTGCTCGGTCCTGTGGTACCTGGATGGATGGTCCGGTCCGGTCATGATTTAAACCATAAGTATAGTTTTTTTTATAACATCCTAGCTTTATTAATATCAAACCAATGTAACATGAATTAAAAATTACATTAAACATGTTGTTAAAAAGAACATTTAACTGCATCAACACGATCTTCTTTTTTTTTGAACAAAGATCTTTCTAAACCATAATTGTAGTTATATATTCCCCCGTTCCACCCAAAAAAGATTTTCTAAAGTATCCATGTATATTAAGAATGTAATAGATACTAGATTTTCACCCGCGCTTGAAAGCGCGAAAATTTTTTATGATTAAAAATTTATATAATTGGGTTTTGTCTTAATTTAAAGAATATTTTGATATAAAATCAGTTCACCAAAATTTGTGGTGATGATTGTTTTTCGTTAGTTTTTAGTTTCAGTTTTTATTTTTAGATTTTGGTTTTTGGTTTTTAGTTTTTAAGTTTCTACTTTTCATTTTCAATTTTTGGTTTGAGTTTTTAATTTTTAAACCCGATGAGTTAGTTTGAACTAATATTACCAACAAACAAATCTCAAATAATGGAACATCTAGTTTAAAACTGAAAAGATGATAACAATTTTTTTTTAAAAAAATTTGAAATAGTTTATTTTGTAAATAAACAAAGCAAAAAAATTAAAAATTAAAAACAGCTTTTGGTTTTGGATTTTAGTTTTTAGATTTGGTTTTTGGTTTTGCTTTACATTTTTTTAATCAGTAAATTATTTAAGAAAAATAAAACAATAAATTATTTAAAAGTTACCATTGAAATTTATCAAAATAAAGTGATTGTTATTTAAAATAAAAAAATATATTAACATGTTTTAAAGTACATGATTTAAATAAATGATTAATAATAGATAATTTTGTTTTGTTAAAAATATTAAATACCTTTTGGGTCTTAAAATAATAATTGATTTTTTTGATATTTTAAGGTGAAAAGTTTATTCAATTTTTTTGAAGTTTTTTCTTAATACTAAGCCAAAAAACAAACTATATAATTAGTTCAAAAAATAAAAGTAATCCCAAGAATATATTTCATAAATAACCACTGGTTTAATTTAAGTATAATTAGTAGATTTTCATATTCCATATTTTGATGATATATATTCTTTTAGAACATTCCATATTTGTAGGAGAAAATATGTGTTTTTGGTATACATATAGATACCTGCCGTATTTTGAATGTAGTTTACATTAAGGTCGTCTCTTTACATTAATTGTGTTGGTTTAATTTAAGTAATATGGTTCAATCAATTATATGATTTATATTATTTGTAACATTCTAGAAAGGGACCAAATTTAAATGACATCAGTAGATAAAAAGAATAACTCTATTTTAATAGAGTAGATTTACAATTAAATTTATCATTTATTTTATTTTACATTCCAAATAACTATCAGCCAATAATATTTAATTAGTTTAAGTATAGCCAATTAATGCTTTTTTTAAATATATAAAAGTACTTTAAATATATATAAATTTATTTTATGAACAAAAATAGATAAAAAAACTTATTTTCAGGAATGGAGGGAGTATATGGTACTAAAAATATTTTACATTAGCAATAAAAACGTTTCAAGTGAGCAAGAAAATATTGAAAATGTTGGAGGTACCTACCTGACGAGTAAAGCAGCATCGCCGTGTCCTCCTGGTTGACTCGGTCTCTGACTCGCTGCCCGCTCAGTTCCTTCTTCATCATCTCGCTCACAACCCCGACTACGTTAACTCCGCGAGTGGACCCCACGCGCTCGAGTACGACGGGGATACTTAAACCGGCGAGTTTCGGAGCAAGGTCGGGAGTTGTGAAGGCCAGAGTGGGGTTGCTGTCGGCGGTCTGTCTTGCTATCTCTCCGGCGGTGTTGAGAGTGTTTGCGGTGGTGACGACGGCGCCGAGAGACATCACGGCGAGGGAGACGACGGGGAAATAGATAGAGTTGGGGGAGAGGATGAGGACGACGTGGCCTTTACGTAACCCGATATCGCGGTGGAGACAGTCCGCGACGCGTTCCACGGCTATCCAGAGATCGGAGAAGGTTAGCCGGTGGCCAGTGGTGGCGTCGATGAAGGCGGTGGTGCCGCGGTGAGGCTGAGAGGAGATGAAAGTGGTGACGTCGAGGGAAGGGTTCGCCGGGAGAGGCAATGGGTTGCGTTTGCTATAGAATGTGGAGTTTGATCTGCAGAAACCGCTTCTGGAGTCAACGAGAGATGATCTTTCGAGGTTCGCCATTTGTTTCTCTCTGAACACAACTCCGGGGAATCTGTTCCGACAGTGGCTAATGATTGTAACCAGAGTGTATCGAATAATGGGGGTGCCAACTACTTTATGTTTGAATAATACATATGCATAAAGTGAATTTCTATATAAATTATTTAAGAAAAAAAACTGATTATGAAGTTTTTTTATATATAGAAAATGTAGTTTTGGATATAAATTATTTCAAAATATAATGAAGGAAAACATGTTTCGAAATATAAAGACCGATAATATATAAGTTCATATTTATTTACAAATAATAAATAAATTAATAGTTTAAGTATATCATATAAATTTAGATAAATATTTTTGAATATAACAAACGGTACTAGCCATATGTTTAAGATGCGCAATTTCTGCTTGTCCTTTATTATATTTTTAAAATTTTTCGAAACTATTGTACAGTAAAATTTATTGGAATATCCAGTCAGTGTCTAACAACTAAGTGCATCATCATACACGTAGCCCACATTTTAGAATACTATAAAAAATATATATACTCCGACATGACTGGGTTAAACTAAAGTATGATATCTTGATACTAAATCAATAATGCTTATCTTTAACAAAAAGTCATCGTGATTAAAGATTTTATAAATTCAATTTCATAATTATTTTATTTACATATAATTAAAAATTAAAACATGAAATAATTATTTCAAAATGTTCAGATAAGCTGCTAAGTTTTTCTGGAGATATTAAGAATTTTTAAATTTAACACCAAAAATTATTTCATATTCAGAGAAAAAAAAAGATATTATTCTGAGAGCATCTCCAATAGTGAGATTCATTGGGATCCTTAGCAAAAGGGCATCTCAGATTAAATTTGAATATTTTAGATTTTTTCTAAAAAAAAAATATATATATAATCAATCACAAGTCGTCACATGTCAATGAGACCCGTGAATAGTGAACAGATTCATCAGATTTAATCCTTAGCTAAGTATTTTCATGACACATAAACCTAAAATTAGTAAATCTCATATAATTTTATATTACTTTTTTTTAAGGAATTGTTGTTAAGGACCCTCCATTGGAGTTGGTCTCAGACTCTAAAAAAGTCAGCTGACAGGCAGACTATCCAATAGCGTTCTCCCCGAGATGATTAATCTGCGGGGCCGGCGAGATCCTGTTGATTAAGATGGCCCGACGAACAGCATAATGATTTGTTTTTTTGGTCAGTTTATCAGCAACGTTGCCCACGTGGTTAATATAATTGACTTCCTCCTGGGCCTTGCTTGATTTCTTGTGAAAATTGTCTTATAGTAAAGCCCATTGCCTAAGATAAAGCATTCAAAACGAACAATGTCTATGATATGATGAACCTTTCGAGTCTAAGAAAGAAGCCAAACTCTATCTCTGTAGTCAAAGCTAAAGTGAAGTTTCTAGAAAGCATGATTAAAGTTCAGGTCAAAAAGACGAGTATAAAAAGAGTTTCATGTGTGTTTAGCTGCTTGGTGTCTCTTTAAGTCGTTAGGAGAAGATACACGAGTCCTTTTAGATAACTCAGTTGGTGGCTTCATGGTGGAGACACTCGGCGACACGATCGACGCTCCAGAGATTGGAGAAGCTCAAGTTGTGACCGATGAAGGCAGTGGTGCCACGGTGCGGCTGAGAGGAGGTGAAATGATTCTTCGGGAGGCTTAATGGGTTGCGTTTAGGGTAGAATGTGGAGTTTGCTTGGCAGAAACCACTTCTGGAATCTGTGAGAGATCGCAGAGGAGAAGGATTCGACATTTTCTTTAGGCGTATAATTGTATGAACGAAGAAGGATCGATATTATATTTGAGTTAGTGGGATTAGTTTTAAAAGGAATTCAAGAACGGATTATATAATGTTTTCCCTTGTGGAGTGATGTTAATGGATTCCAAATGTTTTTGTTTTGTGTTGTTAGAGCTACTCCATCTGTGTATATTTATTGAGTACTAAATACTAGTAACAAGAAAATTAAAAGATAAATAAGGAATAGTATTGAGATTACGGAATGTTTAAAAAAAAAAGACTTATTGACATTTGGCAACTTACAAAAGACATCATTTGTTTTCAAAATGATAGCTTTGATTAATGTATAAATCTATTTCAGGTACTTGCGCAATACTACAAACATGGCCTACAACATTACTTCCACCGGTATTCTAACTAAGATATCCAAAAGTTCATATCTATCAACAATATATACAAACGAGTATTGCTTTTTAAGAAGAATGTTCTTAACGGCTTTGGTATAGCCAACCGGAGTTTGCTAGACCCTTGTAATCCCATCGTAAGGACGTAGCATTTTGAAATAAAGAGCCAGACAGAATCTTCTTTTAAACTGTTCAACATATATATGCTCTTACACTTTCCTCTTATTAAAAAAATATAATACCATCATTAGTAAGAAGTGAGACTCCAGCAAATAGATTGATAGACACCACTAGGATAATCTACCAAGATGCTAGCTTATTCGAGAAAGCTAACTCATTAAATTCCAACTCGATACGGTAATTCGAGAAACCGAAAGAACTCCTTATTTTAATTGATCTTTTATTCGATGATGATAATGAAAGCTAGAGGTCTCCTTATAAATCGGAAGAACCTTGTTCGTTAAGCAAATTAAACACAATGGAAAATATGATAACTACTAGAAAATTACCAAAAGCAACATACGTAAAATATCTAAAACTAAAACCTTTATTCTCCCCTACACGTTCATATCTTCTAACCACTTTCCTTTTTACTTGATTCCATCGATTCTCCATACGAGTCCATTTACTTTCAAGCAAGTGGAATTGGGTCATTTCAAATTTTTGAAGTGGCGAGTTTGATTAGATCTTTACGAAGTGTTTTGCCGGATGCATTCTTTGGAATAGAGTTTATAAATGCGACTTTTCTTATTTTTTTATACGGTGCAACCTGCTCATCAAATTAAATCTTTTTAACGTTTAGGAATTGATATTCACCACCCAAAAATAACTAAACTATTAGTGTATATACAACATACGAATATAGTTTTGTGATTTTAGGGTTACCTGTTTAGACACGAAGTCAATAACTTGTTTCTCTGATAGGTCGCTCTCAAGCTTTCGTGTCACGTAGGCCATTGGATATTGTCCCGCTTCTTTATCAGGAAACCTTTGTAATAGACAGACAAAACAGGACATATATAGAAGAGAAACAAACTTCACGTTGTTATCTTTTAAAAGTACAAAAAAAGAAGAAGATAAAAATGGGTTTACGGAATAACAGCGGCATCTAGAATGTCTGGATGAGTAACCAATAGAGCCTCTAGTTCAGCTGGAGGTACCTATTAGCCAAAATTCAAACCATTATATAACTTGAGCTTTTTAAAATTTACACCATTGATTCACGTACAATAAAATATAAATCTTTAACCTGATAGCCTTTGTATTTTATCAGTTCTTTCAACCGGTCCACGACAAAAAGAAACCCATCTTCATCGATGTAACAGATATCTCCAGTTCTTAGCCATCCTTCCAAATTAAAGGTTTCATTTGTAGCTTCTTCGGTTTTAAAATACCCTTATAAGCAAAATAACAACAATAAACTGTCAAATCATAATTCTTTTATTTGTGTAACGTTCCAATAATTATTAGTAACATTCTCTATATAACATTTACGTTGTCTACCTAGCATTATGAAAACATATACATATAAAAAATCAATAATTCACATGAAGATCAATATTACATACAACAACCTTATAAGCACATACAAAAACAAAATAACTTTTCTTTTGGCATGAAAAGAACAAAAAAGTAACGTATCAAATAACAATTATGTTATTTGTGTATCGTTTTAGTAGATAATTATACTGTTTCTTGACAAATTTTCTATGTATTATTTCTATACACTAACCATATGCCAAGTCTCTTACTAGCTAACGTTTCGAAATTAAGCTAAACATTTAAAAATATCAACAACTCACGTGAAATGAACCATATACTAAAATACATTCCCGCGTAAAAACTAGAAATACTTTACCTCTAGCAATAGTAGGCCCTTTGAGCGAGAGCTCGCCCATTTGGTTAACACCCAAAACCCGACCCGAATCCGGATCCACAATCCTCGCCTCCACACCGGGCGTCAACAACCCCGGCGAACCGTATCTCCGACTCTCCTCCACCGTCTCAACCGAAGCTCCCGCACCATTAGATTCCGTCAAAGCATAACCACCAAAAATATCAACCGTTGGATATTTCTCCCTAAACCCTCCAGTCACCTCCTTACTCAACGGCGCTCCACCGCACCTCACGATTCTCAGCGAGCTCAGATCGTACTTGGCCTTGATCACATCCGCCTCGTTAGTCATAGCTACTACAACCGGCGGCGCTACTGCCAGAGTCGTGGCTCTGTACTTGTCAACCGCTTCCATCACACCGTGGAGGTCGAATCTCCGGAGTGTCACCACCGTCGAGCCGGATGCGACGGTGCTCAGACAGAAACACAGTAGTCCGTAGGTGTGGAACATTGGCACGGTGCAGAGGAAGATCTGGTCGCCTACCAGTTTCTCCGAGACGAACCTCGCCACGTAAGCAGTTAAGTTCTTGTGAGACGTGATCACTCCCTTGCTCGGTCCTGTTGTGCCCGACGAGTAAAGCAGCATCGCCGTGTCGTTCTGGTTGACTCTTTCTCTGACTCGCTGCCCCCTCGGTTCCTTCTTCATCATCTCGGTCACTACCCCGACGACGTTGACTCCGTGAGTGGACCCCACGCTCTCTAGTACGACGGGGATACTTAAACCGGCGAGTTTAGGAGCAAGGTCGGGTGTTGTGAAGGCGAGCATTGGCTTGCTGTCGGAGGTCTGTCTTGATATCTCACCGGCGGTGTTGACAATGTTCGCGGTGGTGACGACAGCGCCGAGCGACATTACGGCGAGGGAGACGACGGGGAAATAGACAGAGTTTGGGGACAGGATGAGGACGACGTGGCCTCTACGTAACCCGATATCGTGGTGGAGACAGTCCGCGACGCGTTCCACGGCTGTCCAGAGATCGGAGAAGGTTAGCAGGTGGCCAGTGGTGGCGTCGATGAAGGCGGTAGTGCCGTGGTGAGGCTGAGAGGAGATGAAAGTGGTGACATCAAGGGAAGGGTTCGCTGGGAGAGGCAATGGGTTGCGTTTGCTATAGAATGTGGAGTTTGATTTGCAGAAACCGCTTCTGGAGTCAATGAGAGATGATGATCTTTGGAGGTTCGCCATTTGAACACAACTCCGGGAAAGATGTTTGGACAGTGCCTAAAGATTGTAACCAGAGTCTCTTGATATAGTGAAAATGGAGTACCTACCATTTATGTTTTAATTTGACATATGAATAACGTGAACTTGTACATTACTAGATATTTTCCTAGACCTTGTCTAGCAATAAATTTTTTAGATATAAATTATAAATAAAATAAAATTCTATTAATATTTTAGATTTTTATTATTTTCATAGTAATATTTTAATTTAATTAAACATGAAATTAAATTCAAATAAATATTTTGATTTATTTTAAATTATATCTAAGAGAAATATATATATAATTATAATCTTAGATAGATTTCAATTATTATTTTTGGTTAAGATATATTAAATCAATTTATATTAAAAACTAAAAATTTATATAATTATCAAAAATAAAACTAAATAGAATTTTTAAAATTTGTAGATATCAAAAAAAAAACGATGTTACGATCAAAAGTTTAGTTTTTAATTATCTAAAATCTTGTTTAGTGCAAAATTTATCTAAAATTTTGAAAATCTTATTTAGTAATAAAAATTTATAATTATAAAAATTGACTTAAATAATATCTCAAAATCTTCAATTAAGATTCTAAGCTTTTGTGGAGTTTGAATAAAATAATTTTGCAAACGTTGCCCACGTGGTTAATACAATTGACTAGGGTCATGCTAGATTTCTCGTGAAACTGTCCTATGGTAAAGCCAATTACGTAAGATAAAGCATTCAAAACGAACAATGTCTGTGGTATGATGAACCTTTTGAGTCTTAGAAAGAAGCCAAACTCTGTCTCTGTAGTTAAAGCTAACGTGAAGTCTCTAAAAGGCATGATCAGAGTTTAGTTGTTAAGAGACGAGTATAAAGAAAGAGACTCAAGTGTGTTAGAGCTGCTTAGTGTCTCTTTAAGTCGTCAGGAGAAGATAGACGAGTCCTTTGAGATATTCCACTATTTCAGATCCTCCCAGCTTCGAAGTTCCAAAGACTCTATCCACAAAAGTGATAGGTACCTGCAGATGAAGAGAGAGTACCACAGAATCATATGAATAAACCGAATATTTAAAAAGGAAGCAAATCACAAACTGATTTCTATATGAAAAAGAGAGAGACCTCTTCAATATGATATCCTTTTCTGGTGGCACGAACAATCATCTCCATCTGAAAGACATAACCTTTACTCACACATGAGCTTATCACGTCCTCAAGCACAGATTTCTTGTATAGCCTTTCAAAAAAATAAAAAGGATGTGAAGGTCAGTCAAATGATTCAGGAAAAAGATGCCACCGCCATACAAGTTCATTGGAAATTACCGAAATGATCCGGTTAAATCAGATACACCAGGCCATAAAAGCGTTTGAGCTAGTACATTGGCTCCTCTGCTAGTGAGTTTCCGCATAAGATTCCACCCGTGTACACCACCACCTTTTACATATCGTGTGCCCGTTACTATACTTGCATTTGTCTCTAGCTGTTTCCTTCATGATATACCCAACAAAACAGAGTCATCTACTGGAAATCATAATAAGCTCTTATGAGGTTTGTAAAAGATCAAGAAAGTCTACTTACTTGATGAAACTTGGTAAATATTTTGGCTACACAAGAGAAAAGTCAAGTCAACGCAACAAAAAAAAAGACAATAAAAAAACAAGATAACTCAGACGGTGGCTCTTACATGATGTGAAAGATCAGCATCCATGATCACAACAAAATCACCTGTAGCATGCTTCAAACCATGAATATACGCAGTTCCTGAAATTGATCAAGCAAACGAAGATTAATAACCACTTCTTGTAAAGCAAAGTTATAGAAGACGCTGATGGGAGTTACAGTATACAGATACATACCCAAACCAAGCTTCTTAGCTCTAGCTCTTAGAAGCTGCATCGTAACAAAGACGAACACTGAACTCAACAACTAAACAAAAAAAATACACACAAAGATACAGGCCCTAACTGGTCACAGTACTCACAATGCGGTCTTCACCATACAAGTGCTGAAGTTGCTTGACGATTTCTTGAGTGCCATCAGGACTCCCATCATCCACAACAATTATCTCAAAATCAACATCCCTACATCACACATCAATTAACATTACGCATAGAAGATTCTACTCAACAAACGCAAAAACGATTCATCTCTTATAATCAGCCACAGCTTAAAAATCGATTCCGAGATTATAAAACTAAAACCTAACTTCTCCGATCACTAAACCACAGGTCCTACGAAGAAGATTATCTCACTGAGTACTAACTCATGCGCACAAATAAACAACAATCACCAAATCCAGATCTGCAATGTGAAACCATGATCCATAACGTGAAATACTAATGCAGCGATTAGAATCGGATTCTAGACGAATTCAATAAAAGAAAGCAATAAGAAGAGAGAAATCGTTTTTTACCGGAGATGCTTGAAAATGAGGTAGACGATAAGAGCGATATTGAGGCGCTCGTTGTAGGTAGGAATGATTATGCTATACTTGTTCTTTCCATCTCCTTTCCTCTCCTTAACGTCCGCCATAGCAGCCGATCAAAATCCCTAAGTGAGCGAGCTTCCTTAACCTGCCGATCGGGGGCTCTCTGTTGAAATTAACCGTCGTCTCTGTGACTGTACAGAAAAGTAGTAGGGACGAAAGTAAATTAATATTAGAATACAAGGAGTACAAAAAGCAATTTTGAATTTTGGGCCTATGGTGATTAATTGGCTTAATGTAAAGCCCAATTCACAATAGAGAAAGATTCGTCCAGATGCACTATTAGTTCTGTATTTGTGGGTCTGTCCCAAGATGTCATTGACAAATTTTCCTGATTCTCCATTTCTAGCAATGGGTGGGACAAGATAATGAACATAAACAATAGAGAAAGATTCGTCCAGATGCACTATTAGTTCTGTATTTGTTGTCTGTCCCAAGATGTCACTGACAAATTTTCCTGATTCTCCATTTCCAGCAATGGGTGGGACAAGATAATGAACATAAACAAGCAGATCACAGTGACTTAATCTGTTAGTTAGTCATGCATTTCAATGAGGAGGATTTATATCAATTTTTTTTATATTAGAACAATACGTTGCTAAGTTAGATGGGCTTCCACTTAAAACCAATTGGTGATAAGTGGATTGACCCATTAGAATCCATTCAAACTTTCAATATGGGACATTTGTCCCTAATATACGTAAGTGCTATGTAAGATAGCATGTCTATCTCTAGGTTGTTTCGTGTATGTGATCATAGTTTATGAGCTCCCTCGTTCTCTTGCACTTTCTTTTGTTTCATCAACTTAGTTCTTGCCGCTAATCTTCTTGTACATCTTTCAGTTTCTTGCTTGTGGACTGCTGATACATAACTCCACCAAACATACAGATCAAGAGTCCCAAAGTTCTAATCAAAGTTGAGTGTTTATCCCATATAATCCCACTGGCACAACCACTGGGAGAGTGTACCAATCAGGCTTATCAGTGATCTCATGACTAAGTTTATGTAACTAGAGAAGAGCCTCAAGGTTGTTGTAAAGCACAAGACCTCAAGTGTTTAACCTTATGTTCGTAACCACGTCCTTGATGTAGACAAGATCTATAGACATGCACACAAGATACGCAACAGCCCAGCTATATGCTGTGATTGTAAACTGGTAATCAGTGAGCACGTAGAGCAAGCTTCCTCCAAGGATGGTACAAGAGAGATCCATGTTTTGAGAGAAGGCCAAGGCTGGTTCAAGAAAAGGGTCTCTCCAATTGCGACAAATATAGAAACAGCAGGACAAAACACGATGAAAGTGTCCACGTTAGAGTGGAGTAGAAGCTCACTGTTGGTGAAAAGTGACAAGTCAAAATATGATAGCTGCAGGAAAAAACCTCCACATGGTTAGGAGACTGAGAGGATCGTGCTCGGTAAGGTATAACTGGCCAAAGAGTAAGTAAAACACCAATCACGGTTGTGAAGTATTGAAGAGAAGAGAAGCTGAGATGCAATAACCAGTAGCTACGCCGTACAGAGAGGCTTGATGAAGTAGATCACTGTACCTAGGTTCAGTTCCTTGAACTACACGGTTCAGTTATTCATCGAGAAACAGTAGGAAGCAATACTAGATTCAGAAATACTAATGAGTGTACTTGTTGTGTTGGGGACAAATGGGGTTTAAATTGCTAAAGATAAGAGCTGGTGGGTGAGATGAGGGAGAAGCACTCCAATAACTGTGTAACCTTCACATACCTATTTAATTGGAGTGTTAACGTCTCTAACTGATGATACTCGGGTCTTCAAGAATTAAACTCAACAATAAATATCTGGATAATGCTTTTGTAAGTTTGAACTAGTCAATTTGTTAACTGTTGAGAATAATTTCACCTAATCTATCGTCTTACGGTTCCATTAATTATATGACTATATGAGGACGAATAGAGAGAGTATTGTTAACTACTGATTTTGACTGCATTTAACCTTCTTGTTGCTTCAAGATCAATTGCCAAAAAAAAAGATTTTAGAAACCATACATGACCATCATGTTTTCATCAAATCAGGAACCAGACCTATTGAACTCAGTTCGGTCCTATTAGAGTCCCACATCGCTTAAATAAGTGATTCTTGGGCAATATATATGTGTATGGGCAATCCTCCACTCTTGAGCTAGCTTTTGGGTGTGAGTTAGGCCCATCACTAATATGGTATCAGAGCCAGGTTTGGCCCAGCATTATGATTTACCACATAAACAGTTTCCTACCTATGTAGCCTGTAAAAGTGATCCATATGCTGTGGTATTTCCGAGATGTTGGGCTTGGGTTGTTTCCCTATGGACCGTTTCCCACCCACATCTCGAGAGGGGCTATTAATATATCCCACATCGGTGGATATATTGGTCCTTGGCAATATATATGAGTATGGACAATCCTCCACTCTTGAGATAGCTTTTGGATATGAGTTAGGCCCATCACTAAGGCAAACCGATCATATTCAAAATGTGTCAATATGATGCTATTTTTATATATGAAAAAGCATACCAATTAATTTCTTACATCCACTTATCAACCTCCCAAAGACCAACCAACCAACCACCTTGATGATGCATGTCATTTTATGTTGCCCTAAAGATTAAGCTCTTAGTTTACAAAAAGAAAGATTAATCTCTTTTTACATATATGATCACACTGGCTTCTCTAAATGTTATGCACCACCATCCCACATATTCCCATTTTATAAGCTTACGCTGCTTACCACTGTAATATTGGACAGACATTGGCATAGATAGGCACTGGACATATTTTTAACATGCACCACATAACTCTATACCATTTTATAACGATGTAAACAAAATTATGTTATTCATACTAAAGTAGCTTATTTAATCTCATGATTAAGTGTTATTATGCTATTTGGTAGGTAAAAATATGTTTCAAAAATCCGACTGAAATTTTCAAAGTAGCAAAAAAAGAAGAAGAAATTTTACAGGAATTTTGAAGTATATATAAAGCGCATAAATTTCAAATCTTCTAATTTTCTCATGTTTGTGAAATTTATAAGTTATAAAATACTTGGTGAATAGTATACTAACATTGTCATATGTGTTTTTTATAGTAACAGAAAACAAATAACAAAATGTTACAAGTTTAAAACTGAAAGATTTGCACAGTAAAAAAAAAAACAAAATACACTGAAAGCAAACATAATAGCGGATATTTTTTTTTCATAATAGCGGATTTTGAAATGCAAAGTCTAGTGAAGTCACCATCAGAGTAGAAACGAGGCACCAAAAGATTCGAATGCCCAAGTTTGAACTCTTTTTATTGATTTCTCAACTTGATCGACAACACAATAATCAAATTTCCAAAAAAAAAAACGAGAGGGAGTATGAGGATAAGGTGTAATCTCGTTTTTTGTCGTGTTGATCCACAAAAACGCATTTTCATTCGTTGAGTACACCATAAAGTCACAAAGTAAGGGTAAGATTACTACGTGGCAACTTACCTGTGGATTCCAGTGCCCTCATATGTTATTTAAATATGAATATTAAGCCTGTTAATTAACTTGCCTACATTATTGACAACTTTTGATTTCCTATTTATTTTCAGTTTAATAGAATAAAATGATTCTATATTGGATATATATATATATATATATATTTGTTGTAATGAAGTTGATCAGCTTTTATTTATTTATTTATAATGTATAGAGAAAAACTACTCTTATTTGCTAGGTTGCATGGAATCGGAAACGGATACGCGGAAACGAAACGTTTCTAACCGTGGAAACATGATTTTTAAAAAAATTAGAAATGGAAACGTTTTGGAAACGCCTATAATATATATATGTGTATATATATGTATGATTAATCAACATGTAAATTTATTTTTTTTGTTTGATTTACCTAAGAAAAAAGATTAAGTAATATAAATATTTTTTGTACATTTTATTAAGAGAAAATGACTAGAATAGACCTAAAAAGTTTTTATCACAAATATAGATCTTAACAATTAAAATGACCAAAATAACACTTAAATGTTTTATTAAATATACATTTATACCCTTTGGTTAACTAATTATAGATTTTTTGTTTAGAGTTGAGGAGTGAGGTTTTGGGGATATGATTTCGAATTTAAAAAAATTAAGAAAACTTAAAATTTTCAAAATAAAAATTGCTATTTTGGTCATTTTAATTTTTGAGGTCTATTTTTGTGATAAAAACTTAAAAGAGGGCTATTTTAGCAAATTACCCTTTTATTAAAATTATAATCAATAACTAGAAAAGTAACACATGTTATCATTCAATAAAACTATAGAGCAAATTCATTTCAAATTAAATCGTTATACTAAAATGATAACAAATATCAAAATATAATATTAGAATATAAAATAATAAACATGTAATCACTAACATCAAATGCCAAATATTTATTTTATACGTTTCTAATTAGAATCGCGAGTTTCCAAATCAGAAACACAAGTTTCCATCGTGTTTCCAAAATAAAATTTTCAAGAAACGTGTTTCCAAAGAGTTTCCTCGAGTTTCCAAGAGATTCCGATTCCGAAACGTTTCCGAAACAGGAAACGGACCTTGAACGGAGTTTCCATGCAACCTAGCTTATTTGCTTTTGGTAATATCGTTCAGGAATTTATTTGGATCAACATGACAAACAACCCAATCTAATAATTAATATTAGAAATTTGCTCATATAAAGGCCGAAAAACTTTGAATTCTTCACTACAATTCAATTGACAAGTAAATGATGTTCGCATGTACTACGACAAAACTTGCCAGAAACTTATTACACAGCTCTATAAATTTACACACACAAAACAATTTAGCTAGGCTCCTATCTTTCAAGGTTTGTGTGGCTATTTTTGTCGTCGCCAAACGAAGACTTTTCTTTCTTTCTTTTCTTTACGACACCAAGACTTTCTTTGGTAAGATGATTACTACAACTTTATCTGATAAGAAAGGACTATGAAATTTTGTAGATAGGTACAAATGTTCCTCTTGTAAACTTTTACTGATAAGAAAGGACCATGTGTTTTTACCCAATGATGAAAAACCCTCCATTATGTGGACTGATTAAGCGTACTGCACTTAACAAGTACGGCATACTACTTGTCTTAAACATATTAAAAATGTCTTAGAGCTGAACTTTTAGCTAAATAAAACTACCGCTGTGAGCCTGTGACTGATCAATTTAATAAAGTAAATTTAGAGGCCGGATGAAAAAAATCTTCTATTCACAATCTGTCAACCTACATAGTTTAATTAACCGGGACATTCTATCAGTCTATAAATACATTCTTGTTTCAGTAAAAGACAATCACGTGAATTTAAATTGTCAGACGGCATAGAAGTTGATTGTCTTCTAATGATTGCAATTTTCTGAGAGAATATATATTGTGGCGGAGTAGTTTCACCTAGATGTAATAGTATCAAACGAAGTAACAAGAGCAACTTGTTTACTCTAAAGGGGCCCAAGCGTAAGCTCAACAATCAAAACATGGATAAATGCAGCATGCCAGCATCGAAGTAACGTGTTAATAATCGCCAAATGCTCAGAAAAAAACGACTGCCCACTATACCCACTCAATAATGTCACGATTTTAGCTTTTTGTTTTTTTAACAAACAAGAAGCTTTGAAAATTTCCAACCCGTGAACTTAAATTCATGAACACCACTATTAATAATGCACGATATAGTTTGTGAATATTAATAATTTATTAGAGTATAAAACGCCGTATCAAAATGGGTGAGGTTAAAATCATCTTGCCCGGCCCCGGTAAAGCTCATTAATCCCACCTGAATTTCTTATAAAGATATTGGAGGATAACGTTGCAAAGTTTGAAAAATAAACCCTAGGTTTGGTCGACCGATCGAAACAATATAATATTGAAAAAGGAAAATTATTACGTAGAAACCTCAGCCTACATTATCCAACATGTGTCTGACACGAACTTACTCTTATAAATTCTAATGCGATAAGACCAAACATATGTGATGAAATGTATCATGTGACTTTACTTTATATATAAATAACTGATCAGGGTAAGATCCAAAATGCTGGAAATCAAACGGAATTCCAACCTTATCATGTAATAAAATGCAATTTCAAGATAACTAAATTATATGTTTATTGAAAATGAATTAAACTAAAACGCTAAACTTGTATTAAAACAAAAAAAATTTGTATGTTACATAGATATTTTAATTCCATACTATATATATATAGATATATCTTTTGAACAGTAAATACTCTTTTTCTAAAAAGGCTTTACTTTATATCTGCAAAAGATGATTTTTCATATGAATCCCACTCAAATACCGCAATGAACAATTCTAACCAATATTATATACATAATTATGATGAACAGTTCTATCTATAATAAATATCTGATAGTTTTGCTACAAATTATAATTTGAACACGTTTTAACACTAAAATTCTATATCTGATGTAAAACATAGACCTTTTATTTTATCACGTATAAGCTACATTTTATCCTTTGAACCTATATATATATATATATATATATATATATATATATAAACTAAGCTATGATAAAATTATTATCCACGATGAAGAATTATCATTGAATTTTCTTTTTGAAAACAAGGTTTTACTAACTATTGCTGATTTCTCTTAAGAGAAAGGTTATGTACCACGTAATATATAAAAATATTTTTCTATTTAAGATAACATTTTTTTATAAAAGTTTGTTGTTTTTGATATTAGGTTATCTGTTTTTGTCACAATAATTGATTCCGAACGATATTAATATTATTTTTCCTCTGATCTTGCAATACTGTCTTGTCGGGATCATGAATAATTCAATCGCCGATTTTTATTTTTCCGGGTTGGAGCCAAAAACGGGTTAAAGAAATATCTAAGGTGGTGGGGAGTGGAGGGCATTGAAGACAAAAGAAAAGTGGGGGCATTATTGTTATCGCGAAAGAAAAGTAAACACAATGGTCCATTTTTTACTGTATCGATAAATTGATCTTGAAAGGACAAACGTACCCCTCCACTTGGGGCCGCCATTACCTAACGTAGCACACGCGATTCATTATATATAATTTGTGTGTGTGAGTATATCTTAAATCAATCATGTTTCGCTATGATCTCATGTTTCATTATGATCGTTTTTCCAACTATTTTTTATGAAAAATGGAAGTTGCATGCTCTTAAGTCTTAGTGTTACATGCATACTTTTTTGTTCCAAAATTTGTTGTAAGTAAAATGATCGTTTGAGCTATAAGGTGGTGATGTTGATTTTTGGGCTGGCTATCTAAGATAGCATATTTTCAAAACGTTTTGATCTAAAAACCAGTGCATGCGTAAACAACGTCACAGACTCCCATGTGGTTTGTTGTTTTCTTCCTTATATAAGACCTTATTTTGTTGTTTGTCTGTTTTTATTAAAAACATGTGTTTTTGTAAATGTTGCTTAATAGATTTCTCAGATCTACTCACCTGATTAATCAAATAAACTAATCATAATATAAATAATCTGGTTAAATATAATCTAAGCATATATGATTAATCATTTTAATTATTCAATTAATCAGAGTGTCGGTCAATCAAAAAACTTAAATAAAGTATTTATTCGTATGAAAAAAGCACAAATCTCTAATAATCCGATCAACACTTATAAATTTTTAATAATAGATTTAACATACCATCGTATATCAGGATATAATCGTATGCATTTAATAAAAAAATGGGATGGATTTATTATTTGAACCATTAATAGTGGTAGATCCATCAAACAAGAAAAGACTATGAATATACGAAAGTAAGCAATAATCGAATAAATTAATCTTTATATCCGACATCTTAGTCTGCTTAGGCCACCCCAAATTAAAAGCCTTCTCCGTCAACCGACGGCCCAGATCCGACCCGGTAAACCGGGTTCGGTCATATAAAATTTGGATTGTAAATAAAAAAAGAAAGACGCGGGTAAAAGAGAAAGTGATACGCTTGTTGCTTGTTCTAGACTCTTATGGGATATATCTGATAATTTACTGGCTCATGATGATTGCAGTATCGTCCCTCGAGCGCCTACAACGCTCCGTTCTACACCACAAACGGTGGTGCTCCCGTCTCCAACAACATCTCCTCCCTCACCATCGGGGAAAGAGGTAATATTGAAGCTCTGATCTTGTGTAAATTGTAATGGAGTGTGATGTGTTTTCTAAAAGTTTGTTGCTCTTTGTTATGGGCAGGTCCGGTTCTTCTTGAGGACTACCATTTGATCGAGAAGGTTGCTAATTTCACAAGGGAGAGGATTCCTGAGAGAGTGGTTCATGCTAGAGGAATCAGTGCTAAGGGTTTCTTTGAGGTCACCCATGACATTTCAAACCTCACTTGTGCTGATTTCCTCAGAGCTCCCGGTGTTCAAACTCCGGTCATTGTCCGTTTCTCCACCGTTGTTCACGAACGTGCCAGCCCTGAAACCATGAGGGATATTCGTGGCTTCGCCGTCAAGTTTTACACCAGAGAGGTATAAACAATTAATGTTCAAAAAATCGCTAGACCAATTAATGTTCAAAAAATCGCTAGACGGCAATTAAACACTTTTAAATAGATATCTAAACGCGTTTAGACCCTATTTTAAAAAATATAATAGTTTCAGAAAAATTGTATTAAAAATATCATTTTAGAAAAATCATTTCGCAAATGACTGTTTTGTCAATGGGCGATTAGGCGCCGCCTAAACCAATTTTTAGGATTGGTATATATAACAAAAAAAATTGCTAATTACATATTTGAGATATCCTCTAGCTTCTTTAATTAGAATCATTACTGATGTGTCTCTTGTTACTCAGGGAAACTTTGATCTTGTTGGAAACAACACACCTGTCTTCTTCATCCGTGACGGGATTCAGTTCCCTGACGTTGTCCACGCCCTGAAGCCAAACCCGAAAACAAACATCCAAGAGTACTGGAGGATCCTAGACTACATGTCCCACTTACCAGAGAGTCTTCTCACATGGTGCTGGATGTTTGATGACGTTGGTATCCCACAGGACTACAGACACATGGAAGGTTTCGGTGTCCACACCTACACTCTAGTCTCCAAATCCGGAAAAGTTCTCTTCGTGAAGTTTCACTGGAAACCAACTTGTGGGATCAAGAATCTCACTGATGAGGAGGCTAAAGTAGTTGGAGGAGCTAACCACAGCCACGCAACTAAGGATTTACATGATGCTATTGCGTCTGGTAACTACCCTGAGTGGAAGCTTTTTATTCAGACGATGGATCCTGCGGATGAGGATAAGTTTGATTTTGATCCTCTTGATGTGACCAAGATCTGGCCTGAGGATATCTTGCCTTTGCAACCTGTTGGTCGCTTGGTTCTGAACAGGACTATTGATAACTTCTTTAATGAGACTGAGCAGCTTGCTTTTAACCCTGGTCTTGTGGTTCCTGGGATTTATTACTCGGATGATAAGTTGCTTCAGTGTAGGATCTTTGCGTATGGTGACACTCAGAGACATCGTCTTGGACCTAATTATCTGCAGCTGCCGGTTAATGCTCCTAAGTGTGCTCACCACAACAATCACCATGAAGGTTTTATGAACTTCATGCACAGAGATGAGGAGGTGAGGCTAATTAGTACCACTCAGAGTTATGGTTGCTGGTTCTTTTTTTTATAACTTGGTTTCGTAATCTTAATATGTTGTTTTGGTTTTACAGATCAATTACTATCCCTCAAAGTTTGATCCTGTCCGATGCGCAGAGAAAGTTCCTATCCCTAACAAATCATACACTGGAATCCGAACCAAGGTATATGATTCACCTCATAACTCTTTTAAATCTACAAAAACTTATCTCACTTATTCATAAGACAACATTTCATGGCTAATGTTGCAGTGCATCATCAAGAAGGAGAACAATTTCAAACAGCCAGGAGATAGATACAGATCATGGGCACCGGACAGGTAAACAAGAACTCTCATTTCTCTTGCCTAACTCTCACAGAAACTCAGTTGACAGACCTTAATTACTAACGTTGTGATCATGTTTACTTATTATGGTTACAGGCAAGACAGGTTTGTAAAGAGATGGGTTGAGATTCTGTCAGAGCCACGTCTGACTCATGAGATCCGCAGCATCTGGATCTCTTACTGGTCTCAGGTAAGAAGAAACTCAGTGCTTCCTACTTTGCCCTTTTTACACCATTTTTGGACAAAACTAACATTCTTAACAATATATCTCAGGCTGATCGATCTCTGGGACAGAAACTTGCAAGCCGTCTCAACGTAAGGCCAAGCATCTAGAGACCAATCTCTACGGTTGCTTGTCCTAAGAAAGGTACAATCATGGTACTCTCATCGATCCTCCATCACTTTCAAAAAGATATTATCCAATGTGTTGTTGTTTCGTGTCTGTATAATAATAAAATGATGCATGTAATCCTTTTTAAGCCAATGTTTCCTTCGTATATTTTTACTTGTCACTGTCTTTGTAATCATCTCTTTCATAATAAAATCAATGAAAATAATGCAGTACTATTTTTTTTTTTTTTTAAGGATAATCATGAATTGAAAACAAGATTTGTCTACTTATAGTATAGTATAGTATCCAAGATAAAGCAAAGACGATATTATCCACACACGTAAGTAAGTAATTAGCTGGACAACTACTACTGTAATTAGAGAAAACAATCATTTGGATATAATCTCCCAAAAATAAAACATACGACTTTTTTTTTTAGTTGTAACGTATTATCTCAATTTTTAACACGGTGGGATAAAAATAAATAAAAGATAAAATATCTTTGGTCACTATAAAAAGTGGGGGAAAACAGTGAGGGCGACACACGCCGATTACGTAGAGAAGAAAGAAAGATACAATACAGTCTCACCTAAAACCGTGAACGACGAAAAATCCCAATCGAAATCATCGTCTTTGCATCAATGGATCCATACAGGGTAACACCGATCGATTCTCTTTAGACTCGTAATCTGTAATTTTGATCTTGCTTGATTCTGGATCGGAGTCCGTTTTCCGTATCAATTTTTTTTTTTTGTAATTTCGATTTGATTTACCAAGTGTATGATTGTGTTGGAGCGTTGCGGTGATTGTTTGATTTTATGTAATCGATCTGCTTAGGGTTTGATTATGGTTCAGGGTCTTAGAAACTGTTGGAAACCACTTGCATGTGTTTAAGATTAAAATGATTAATTTAGGAGTTGAGATATTTTTCTTGGGGGTAAGTTTATTGATTGTTTATTTGTTGCACATGCACATTAGTCTAAATCGCTGACGTAATCTGTATCCTTGTATATTATTCATGGTTTAAGGTTTCTCTACGATTTTTTGAGTTGTTTTGTTCGTTATGTAGTCACTGTATTCGATTTTGTATCTCATTTGAGCTACCAAATATCAATCATCGTTGCTTACACAATTCCTAATGTTCATGTTGAAATTGGACCATTTTGTTTATTGATCATATATACTTTATGGTTCTGTCATGTATGTTATCAAGTAATCTAAAGGGAGTTTTTTTGCTCCACTTACATTTTTTTTTATTCTTGTTAATTTATTATTGGAGGTGCAGGTTCGTCCTTCAAGTGCTCATGATTCACCCTTCTTCACTACAAACTCTGGTGCTCCTGTCTGGAACAACAACTCCTCTTTGACTGCTGGAACCAGAGGTGTGTCTTTGTATTGTATATCTCTTGTGCACACAGATAATGTAAATAGCTAGCTGGTGAATCACAGTGGTTGTAACTGAAATATTGTATACCAGAGCTAATATAATTCGTCATGTTTATTTTGGAAAATTATATATGTGAAAGCTATGGTTTTTTGACGACTTGTCAGGTCCGATTCTTCTGGAAGACTACCATCTCCTGGAGAAACTCGCAAACTTTGACAGGGAGCGGATTCCTGAGAGGGTTGTTCATGCTAGAGGTGCCAGTGCCAAAGGTTTCTTCGAAGTCACTCATGACATTACACACCTTACTTGTGCTGACTTTCTCCGCGGACCTGGTGTCCAGACTCCTGTCATTGTTCGTTTCTCAACTGTGATCCATGAGCGTGGCAGCCCCGAGACTCTCAGAGATCCTCGTGGTTTTGCTGTCAAGTTTTACACCAGAGAGGTTAGCTTTTGCGTAAATCTTTACACTGTCAATATCTATGTGTTTTAATGAGACTTATGAACCTCTCTGTTTGTAAACTTAGGGCAACTTTGATCTTGTTGGCAACAACTTCCCTGTCTTCTTCGTCCGTGATGGGATGAAGTTCCCTGACATGGTCCACGCCCTGAAACCGAATCCCAAATCCCACATTCAAGAGAACTGGAGGATACTGGACTTCTTCTCACACCACCCTGAGAGTCTTCACATGTTTTCATTCCTCTTTGATGATCTCGGTATCCCACAGGACTACAGGCACATGGATGGCTTTGGTGTCAACACTTACATGCTAATCAACAAAGCCGGAAAAGCTCACTATGTGAAATTCCACTGGAAACCAACTTGTGGGGTTAAATGCCTCCTTGATGAGGAAGCTATCAAAGTCGGAGGATCCAATCACAGCCATGCTACTAAGGATCTCTATGACTCCATCGCTGCCGGGAACTACCCAGAGTGGAATCTCTTCGTTCAAGTGATTGATCCTGCTCATGAAGACAAATTTGACTTTGATCCACTTGATGTCACGAAGGTCTGGCCTGAAGATATCTTGCCTCTGCAACCTGTTGGCCGCTTGGTCTTGAACAAAAACATCGACAACTTCTTTAACGAGAATGAGCAGATTGCTTTCTGCCCTGCTATAGTGGTTCCTGGCGTCCATTATTCAGATGATAAGCTACTCCAGACCAGGATCTTCTCCTACGCTGATAGTCAGAGACACCGTCTTGGACCAAACTATCTGCAGCTACCTGTCAATGCCCCCAAATGTGCTCACCACAACAATCACCATGAAGGTTTCATGAACTTCATGCACAGAGACGAGGAGGTAATCACATCTTTCAATTGCTTATTCACAATCATCTTTTTCAGTTTGATATGAACTGGTTAAGTTGCTTTCCAGGTGAACTACTTCCCTTCAAGGTTGAATCCGGTTCGCCATGCTGAAAAACACCCTACAACTCCTGTGTTCTGCTCTGGAAATCGTGAGAAGGTTAGATTTCTCTCCATGCCTTAACACAAATCTTTTCAACATTGTGAGATTCAAATGTTTTTATGCTTTCGTCTTTATATGACAGTGCATGATTGAGAAGGAGAACAACTTTCAGCAGCCAGGGGAAAGATACCGGTCCTGGGACGCAGACAGGTAAACACTACAAAACTCAGAACCCTCATTGCAGAAGCTACAAAGCTTCACACAGTTCTTAACTTTTAATTTTTTCTTTTTCTGGGTAAAAGGCAAGAGCGTTTTGTGAAGCGTTTCGTTGAAGCACTTGCCGAGCCTCGTGTAACCCACGAGATCCGCAGCATTTGGATATCGTACTGGACTCAGGCAGACAAATCTTTGGGACAGAAACTAGCTTCTCGTCTTAACGTGAGGCCAAAGTACTGAATGGTATCATCTCGAAAGACCAAGTAAACCCAATATGTGCTCTTTGGTAATAGATCATTAAAATAAACCGTGACAATGAAATGTTTAAAGAAGGGTACTTCTAGTTCATGTTGTAATCTTCTATTGACAATGTTAACGAATATTATCTAAGGCAAATAATAGAAAGCTATGCGTTATGTAGCTTATAACATTCGAGAGTATAATCCATGATTTGGTTCTACTTGAAATGGATTTTATTTGTTATTATATTTTTCTCTGGATTAAGTCTGATTAAATTTGTCCAGATTTGCATCTATGACGTGAGCTTATAGTTGGAATTTTATTGTGGTCTACTGTCAGACGCACGATCGTTGATTTAAAAAAAGGCTTTGTCCATATTTGATAAATTGATATCGTCATCAAACTTTTAAATGGTCCTTGTTCTGATGCAAGATCGCATATATAATATTCGTGTAAAGTGGGAGTTGAGGTATTTGATTACTAGTGGAAATGAAAAAGCAAACTCGTTGATCTGAACTGTAATTAGGTAATACAGTCTGATCGTAATCTCTGGTCCAGAAATTTATTTTATTAAAGAGAAGAACGTCTGCAGCTCAAATAAGAAATTAGGCACATGGAGCCACATAAAACCGAATAAGGCTTAATCACCATGTGTATATGCGCATCTTAAGAGAGTTTAATTATCCAATGGAAAGTTGGTATTGTGTTTTCTAATGGGATCCATGTTTTGTATGTGTTTACAAGTCAGAACTTTGCAGTTTAAACAAAAAAAAATTAACGCGTGTTTAGCTGTTGTTAAATAAGATCTCGGATCCATGTTAATAAAAAAGTCAATTTTCTTGATGACGAAATCAAGGAAACTTTACCTTTGATTGCATGTGACGAAACTTATGCACTCTCTACAAAATGATAAAATAACATGTAAAAATATCTAAGTTTTGAGGTGGATAATGCAAAGAGTATATGGGGACTTGGTCTGATGAGGTCTACCAACCAATGTACCAAGAAATTAAGTTTGGTTTTACACCTAACCACGACGTGTAAATAATTATCAACAACTATTTGACGTTGGAGTTAATGATTCGGCCTACCTTATAATAGTTCTCTCTCGCTCGACATATCTTCTTGAATTATTATAGCTTAATCTTCATGTTATCGAATATATATTCGAAATTAAAAAGCGTTCCTCCATAGAGAAAAAAGGAGAAGAAGATAGGTTTACGATGGTCTCTTCGCAAGGAAGGAATATATTACGTATGAAAGGAGTGTTGCATTTTTGTTTCTTTAAAACTTAATATAAAAGAACTATCTCGATGCTTATCAATACGAGTGACCTAAGGCAATTAGGAAAGCACTTTTATGCTTGCGACTTATCATTCATATACAAATATATCTTTTGTGTTTGCATACATGACTCTCTCTATATATCCAGTCAATTAGAGAACTAATTAAGTTGATCATATTAAAAACGAAAAGATGATACTTAGAACTTAACCACCTGTCCTATCTGATTTTTTTTCCAAATTTGATATACACGAAATGTTGGTCATGACTCACGAGCTTTATCCTGGTGTGGCTTGATAAAACAATACTTTTTTTTCATTTTTTCACTGAGAAATTTAAATCTCTAAAAGAAAACATGGAAATTCTAAAAGAAAAAAATCTTATTGAATATTAGTAAATTATTTCAAGCAGAGAATATGCATGTTGCTATCATATATTTTTGGTAATCCAGTGATTATATAGCTCCGAAATATGTACAAGTACTATATTTCATATTAGCTCCAAAACACTTGGTATTATTAACATAGAAATGGAGAAAATAATTTGATTGAAATTTAGAAGTAAGTAATTTATGTGGAGTGTACATAATTGGGAGTATGTGAGCGAAATCGGTTCAGTAGATTGAGCTCAACCAATCAACATCCTGCATTAGTGCGTTTCAGAGGCGAAAACGGTATTGCTTACACAATACTCTCCCACTAAATTATAAAACTTTTGTTTTACTGAACTACTTTATATTGTCAAATTGATATGAAAAATAGTATTTTTAACCAATTAATAATTGTTAACTTGTCTACAATTAGCAACAAGGTTCGCTTTGGTCATCACAACGATACAAAACTTTGAAGAATCATTCCCCAAATATATAGACGTATGAATAAATCAGATATGTTATAATTAATATTAAAGATACTTATAGCCACTATATTTGATCTTTTCAAAAGAAAAATGTAGGATCTTATTCTACCACTAATTGAACTAAAGTATTAAACATATCATAAAACATAATATTTTTAATATTTAGTCAGCGCATTAATAAAATTTTTTAAAAAAAAAAATAAAACGCTTTTATTATTTTTTTCAGATTGTTGTCAAACCAAACTGAATACATATATTCCAAACGCTTTTATTATTTTTTTCTGATTCTCTCTACGTGACGTTTGCTACTCAAAAGGATTTTTTACACAAATAAATTTTCACTACACAACGACATGGTACTGCTCTATTGTTTATTCCATACTCTCTCTCTCTAGAAACTGGGAGAATCTTAAGCAGCCTGGAAGAGAGAGATAGACTGAGATGTTCTGTAAATATTAACCAAAACAAGTTACAATATATGTCCTGATGCATTGAGGAGATAACAATCCACACATATTCATCTTTTTCAATTTTTATTCCTTAAAATCCTTTTCTTTCTCATCTTACTTGCAAAAATATATATTTCTTCTTCAGCAGAGACATAACCAAACCAGACATCTTTACAGCTTTATATTCTCTCTCTTACAAAGAAACTTCAGTTTATAAAACGGACTTTTGAAACTCACTTGGGGAAGGAATCTTCAAGAATATCTGTCCTCTGAGTTTTTTTCTTTGTTTCCTTTTCTTCTAAAGCTATAAAGGTTTGGCTAAACCAACAAAACAAAGTACATACATGTCAATGGAAGATAGTTATCTCCAAACTGAGAACGTGATTATGGACACTGAGTTCATGAATGGATTGCTACTAGATGGTTGCTGGTTAGAGACAACAGATGGATTTGATCCATCTTCCTTCACGTGGTCTCCAACTCAAGATACATCAGCACTCGTATCATCATCAAGTCTTGACTCCTTTCAATGGAACAAACGATGGTGGATCGGACCAGGAAGTGGTGGTGCCTCTTCAGTTACCGAGAGATTAGTTCAAGCAGTTGAACACATTAGAGACTACACAACAGAGAGAGGCTCACTTATACAGTTATGGGTTCCTGTTAACAGAGGAGGTAAGCGAGTTTTAACCACAAGGGAACAACCTTTTAGCCACGATCCTTTATGTCAGAGACTCGCAAACTATAGAGAGATCTCTGTGAACTATCACTTCTCTGCTGAGCAAGATGATTCTAGGGACTTAGCTGGTTTGCCTGGAAGGGTTTTCTTGGGGAAGGTTCCTGAGTGGACTCCTGATGTTAGGTTTTTCAGGAGTGAGGAGTATCCTAGAGTCCAGCATGCTCAGGATTGTGGTGTACGTGGAACTCTGGCGATTCCGGTGTTTGAGCAAGGTAGTAAGATTTGCTTGGGTGTTATTGAGGTTGTAATGACTACTGAGATGGTTAAGTTAAGACCTGAGCTTGAAAGTATCTGCAGAGCGCTTCAGGTTTGTGTCCTTCTCTAGAAGTTGTCTGCTTTTGAATTCAATGTTCTAAAAATCGGTTTTAGGCGGCAAATTGGTCATAGCCGAAATGATTTTCTAGCTTATGCGTCTCATTTTTGTTGAGATTGGTCTACATAAATCTGTCTAATTTTGTTTTTTTTGGTGTGTGTTATATAATTCATCAAAATAATGTTTATAATTAAGCTTAAATAATATAATATATAATACAAATGAAAAATAAATCAATACCACTCCCCAAGTATCCTCTAAAACATGATTAATGCGGGTTTCTTATGGTCGGGTTTTTATATTATAAGATAAATCTCTTAACTTTTACGAAGAAAAACTAAGAAACAATTTTATATCTTTTATTTAAGAGGTAATTTTTTTTTTTTAGTTTTTGAAAACTAAAAAACATATTTTATGTTACGTTAAGAACCTCATTTTAAAACATATGCATTAATCATGCTCTTAATAATAAGGTTAGTAGCTAGTCTTATATAAACTATCTAGTTATTGTCTCACGATTTTTTGAACATTGCTTTTGATATTAAAATGTGTGTTTCTGAGAGGGGAGAATGTTTTTTTTTGTTCTCAGGCAGTTGATCTTAGGAGCAGTGAAGTTCCTATTGAGCCATCTCTAAAGGTAATCAAAGAAACAAAACACAAGTTCTTCAAGAGTTCTGCTTTTAGTATAAACCATATTGGTTCTCTTTTAATTACAGGGATGTGACTTATCATACAAAGCTGCATTACCTGAAATCCAAAACCTCTTGAGATGTGCTTGTGAGACTCATAACCTACCATTAGCTCAAACATGGGTCTCTTGCCACCAACAAGCCAAAACCGGATGCCGTCACAACGACGAGAACTACATCCACTGCATCTCAACCATTGACGATGCTTGCTACGTTGGTGATCCAACAGTCCTTGAGTTCCATGAAGCTTGCTCTGAGCATCACCTCTTGAAAGGCCAAGGAGTTGCAGGACAAGCTTTCTTGACTAATGGACCTTGCTTTTCTCCTGATGTCTCTAACTACAAGAAGTCTGAGTACCCTCTCTCTCACCATGCTAACATGTTTGGCTTACATGGAGCCGTTGCGATAAGGCTACGCTGCATCTACACGGGATCTGCTGATTTTATTTTGGAGTTCTTTTTGCCTAAGGACTGTGATGATTTAGAGGAGCAGAGGAAGATGTTGAATGCTCTTTCGAGTATTATGGCTAATGTTCCTAGAAGTTTAAGGACTGTTACTGATAAGGAACTAGAAGAAGAGAGTGAAGTGATAGTAACGCCAAGGATAGAGAACACATTGGTATTTGATGGTGGAGACAAGGGGAATGATGTGTTTGGTTTGAAAAGAGGTTTTGATGTCAGTGAGAGCAGCATGTTCTCTAGTGATGGTTTCAGTAGTATGGTTGAGAAAAAGCGTATAAAAGTAGATAAAACCATTACTTTGGATGTGCTTAGACAGTATTTTGCAGGGAGTCTTAAAGATGCAGCCAAGAGTATTGGTGGTAAGCATCATTGCTTTTCTATTGTTTTTTAGATTCACTTTAGTCTTTTTAAGATTTGATCTCTTGTTTTGGATCTTTCTTGTCAGTTTGTCCAACGACGTTGAAGAGAGTATGTAGGCAAAATGGTATACAAAGATGGCCTTCAAGAAAGATCAAGAAAGTGGGACATTCTCTTCAGAAGATCCAACGAGTGATTGATTCTGTTGAATGTGTTTCAGGTCCTCTTCCCATAAGCTCCTTCTACGCGAGTCTCCCTAACTTAACTTCACAAGAACCATCATCTCAACAAGCCAAGACCTCCCCTCCTCCTCCTTCAAAATCACCTGTTTCAACATACAGTTCAAGCTCTAGCCAATGCTGTTCCAGCGAAACTCAACTAAACAGTTCAAGTCTTGAAGAGACAGTGTTGACTCTGTCTAGTTTAGAGAACATCCCACAAGGCGGCACCAACTTGTTGTCAACATCATCTCAAGATGATGTTGACTCTATGAGGATTAAAGTTAGCTACGGAGAAGAGAAGATCAGGTTTAGGATGCGGGATTCGCGCAGGTTAGCTGATCTAATGTGGGAGATAGGGAAGCGATTTGGTATAGAAGATATGAGCAGGTATGATCTAAAGTACTTAGATGAAGACAGTGAATGGGTTTTGTTGACTTGTGACGAAGATGTAGAAGAGTGTGTAGATGTCTGGAGAACTACGCCTAGTCATACCATTAAGCTTATGCTCCATGTTTCTTCTCATTGTTTCCCTGAACGTTCTTCAGCTACTGATTACAGTTTATGGCAATGACTTCATAATCAGAGAAAGGGTGAAGAAAAAGAAGTTTGTAAGACATGGAACAAATGTACCTTTGTGTTCTGTGTTATAATTGTTCATCATTTTAATTGTTATCATTTTCAAATCTAGATATACATATAGAAGAACTCAATTGTAACCATAAATTTCATATTTTTATACGTCAGAGGAAAATAAAACTAAAAATAAACATTTACCAAACTATATATGCTTTTTTTTCTAGGAAACATAATAACATTTTCTTAAAGAAGTTTGTTTTTGTGTTTCTACGAGTTTGTTCTTGTGACCTCCAGTGACGTGGATCAGACGTTACATGCATTAATATTTGGGTTGAGAATTTCATTGTGAGAAACACCCACTAAACTTACCCTAATTACCGAGGAAGCTGGCAAGTCTTACAAAAGATCTCTGTTGTTGTTTTGTTCATTCTCTCTTGATAGTTAATACTCCTAAAAATATGGATGTTGCAACAATCTGTACAACAGAGACACTTGTCCCATATATATATTTTCATGTCACCACAAGTTCGCAACAACTAAGGCCATGACCTCTCCCACAATTGATTTTCGTACCAGAAAACATATGGTTGGGTTAGCCAATGGAAAATTGCTCTTCTTTTTCCTCCATCCTTCCTCTTTCAAAGATCCATTAATCTTCAGAGCTGTAATGCCAGATCTGGATGCTGCGACGAGGAAGAACAAGACTGCTGATTTGAGCCGGGAGAGTTTGGACCTACAAGCCTAGCGTTAAGATCCAGTGGAAACCGATGGAACTCCTGTTTGTTATAAGGAAACAACAACCCTTGTTGTTGCCAGCCCGGTTTTGCCTCGTTGCTTAAGTTTGCTTGTTGCTGTCTCATCGGACTTGGACTTTGGCTGAATCCACTGAAACCACGGACTAGACCGTTGCTGCTCTCAGGCTTGATCAGCTGTCCTGACTGGCGAGAGAACGAGGAGGATGATGGGAACTCGGTTTCTCGCTTTAAGACACTAGCAGGTGCGGTCTCTTTGACTCCTTGAGAAGACGAATGTCTGCTTCCTATAAAAGCGCTCGAGACTGAAGCGGTTGGAGACATGATTCTGTCTGAATGATCATCAGAACACCTCTGTTTTCCCAACGACCACACTAATACCGTTTGTTTTGGAGGATCATCCTCTGCAACCCAACCTAGACCAAACTTGATTCCAGCGGGTAAAGCGGTTTCGATTCTCTTTGATACAATTTTCCAGGCAAGAGGACCGAGATGCGCACCGTATCGTGCCAGGCTCCTCGTGTAACCGTACTCAGTGTTAAGCCCAACCTGAGGGATAAGGAAAAACAAATGATGAGACTTTTGTTTCTCAATACAAAAGGATATAATGGAGTTGGTAATAGCGTACTGGAATCAACTGTTTTAACTCGTCTTCAAGCGTTGTTAAAACCCACGGCTCTTGTGTAGAATTTGAGAGGTCGTTATAGGTATCGCGTCTGTTATCATCGACATCGAAATTTTTCAAACCATACTTGTTAACCGCCTTCACAACCGAAGCTGCAAGTAACCGAAAAGATGATTTATATGGGCAAAGAAAGAGAAGTAGTAAAGCAAAGGAAGAGAGTGCTTTTTACGTGGAAACTCGTTCTCCCAATCTCCACTTTGGGTTTCACTGTCATGATTCATCCTAACCGATGTCTTTCTTAGATTGTAAGCCCCAGAAAACTTGTTAGAGCTATCTCCTCCAGGATTGAGCGCATCAGCTGAAATTTCAGAAGAAGTACGGTCTAAGCAAGATGGTTCAGGCTGTTTATTTGGCGGACGGCTTCTTTCCGAAACTTTTAGGTGCTGCTGCTGTTGTTGGGTCTGTGGTTCTTCATCATCACTGTCTTGCCTCAAATTCTCGAAGTGCTTTTTCGCCAGTTCTTGTATAGCCCGTGCCTACAAGCGATCATATACAATGTACTAATACAACTTTAGATATGTTCAAATGCGATGGAATACAATTCAGCTTTCTATTTCAACTAGAACCCTTGAAGGTGTAACATTTAGACGCATTCGAGTGTCATTCAACGCAAGTTTCTCAATCGTATCCGCTTCATGGTTCATGTCGATAATATGTATCAAAAGATATAAAGTTTAAGGCATACCTGTCGATAATATACAGTGTCTGCTGAATTGTATTCCATCGCATTTGAACATATTAAAAACACATCTCCCTGCAAAAAGTACAGGGCGAATTGTCGAATGAAAAAAAAAAAAAAGAGATGTTCCAACACAAATCTCCACACGAGTTTACATGTACTCAAACTTGGAGACAAATTGAATCTAAATAGACCAATAGTTACTTCGAATTAACACAACTTTTGAAACAGCCTTAGGTCTGCACCCAACACCAAATATAACATGCCCACAAACAATATCAAGGAATGGTTTCCCCTAATCCATAAGATGCCAAGAAACAAAACTTTCTATAGCTACCAGAGAAAGATTAGCATAGGACCAAGCAAAAGAGGAACAAACTCAAACGCACGATTGGACCTTTACAAAAAGTTCAGAGCTAAACTTCGAGGAGGAAGAAAAGTACAAGACGTACCTCAAATTGTTCTAAACTAGCATAAGCTCCAGAGTCTAATTTCTTCCGCAATGTGCTAAAATCCATCGGATTCTCAATAATCTCATGATAATCAGGAAGCTGTAACACATACCAAACAGACATAAGAAAAAACAGAATACTAACGAACTTAAACATTAACAAAAAGGATAGACAGTCACCTCCTCAGGATCAACAGGATCTGAATAAACACCATAAGTATCTTTCCTACAAGTGTTTGTAAAACACCATCAATCAAACAAAAGCATTTAACTTAAACCAAATTGGGAATGAAACAGAGAGAGCAAGGAAATGAAGATTACTTTTGAAGTCTATCGAGGATGAACAACAACAACTTTTTGCCTGGCAGAGGTGTAGTGGGACCAGACTCAACGGGAGACCCTGCCCACATGTAAAATGACAAGCAAGTTTTATTGTCTTTTCTAGAATTAAAAAAATGAAATATATATATATATATATATATATATATATACCTTGGAGAATGTCTGAAGCCTTTTCTCCCTGCAAGGGTTTATCAAAACAGATCATCATCATCAGTTACGAGAATCCATTAAAAACAAAGTCTATGAAGAATCCCACACTCCAATTCAAAGTAATTAGGGTTTTAAATACCATAAAACCAGAGAATTTAAATACTAAAATAAATAATTCATAATAATAATTGAGAATATAAACTGATACACCAATAATAAACTTCGAAATCACAAACCCTAATTTAAACCCTAAATTAGCAACGATAGCAATTCGAATAGCTACCGTGTATCCAGATCGGTGAGCAGCGCGATCAGATTGCGAATTAGTAGAATGTCGTCGAGAGTGAGAGTTCAATCCACGTAAGAGTCTGTGTTTCTTCTCCCGCCGCTCATCTTCGTCTTCTTCCTCTTCTCCGTCGTCATCGGAAGAGACTCTGTTTCGATTACGCTTGGATCGGCTGTTGCGGGAGTTGAGGGAATTAGGGTTTTTGGGAGGAGCGGATCTATGGTCATCGTGGAGATTTTGTAATTGTTTCTGTTGTTTGATAGCTCGTTTCTGAAGTTCTAGAAGAGATGGTCTACCTTTCTTCTTCTTCGTCATTGTTGTTTCTGCTACCTCACCCATTTTCACTCTCTCTCTCTCTCTCTCTCTCTCTCTCTCTCTCTCTCTCTCTCTCCTCTCCGCTTCTTTCTCACACTCTCTCTCTCTTTTTCTCTTTTCCAGGCGTTTGATTTTGTGTTTTTCCACTAAAATTAAATTAAATTAAAACTAAAAATATACTTGTGTGAACTCGCACGTGCATAAAGGGAACTAACTCGTGCTTTTCCTTAGTGGACATGAGTGGGCTGCGATGATGTTCTAAGATATTCGGGCTCGATGACGGACTTTTTTAGGTTTTGTAGTCTCAAAAGCGACGTCGTTTGGTGATGATTTGCATTGGCATTGGTATAACTTGATAAATACTGTACTCGCTAAATTAATAAGACGATAAATTTGTTAAAATAAATCCATTATACATTTAGGTCACTTAAAATATGACAGAATTTATAAAATAATAAAATTTGCAAATTTGAAAAATAATCTTATTTAATCTTAGAATAATTATTAGATTGAGTAATTTTTTCTCTTTTCACGGAAAACCACATCATTAAATAAGAGAAAATAAATCTAAAGAAAAAAAAAATGGTGACATTAGTTTTCCAAATGAAATATGATGGGAAAGTCACTTTGCTCCAAACTTGCATCATTTTCTTTGCATAAAGATTAGTTGTTTACTTAAACGTTTTTTCTTTGTTGTAAAATATCAACCCAAGCTATGGAAGATGATGAATCTACTGTATTTGGAGATGGTGGATAGAGACCCAAGGAGGTACATGGTTCGCTAGTTCAACGAACTTGTTGCTATTCTCTCTGATGGATCACAATTTGAAGAGGAGTTTAGTAGTTTTTGATGGATAACAATTTGAAGAGGAGTTTAGTAGTTTCGTCTTACTTTTTAACTAGTTCACAAATGTTTACACTATTTTTTTCTAATTATACCCTTTCTTAATCACTTTTTAGTTTGGAGAAGATTAATTAAATTATACTTTTCTGACTAGAGGACGAGCAACACAAATTATCTAGGACATAAAATTAAGAACATATTATATATATTACTAAAACTTATATATAAACAAAACTAATGTTTTCACCAATTATTATTATCAAACAAATACAAATTATGTTTACATAAATTCTAATAAAATTAGACAAAATATAAGTAAAAGTTAATGAAAATATAAGTAAAAATTATATAAATATAAGTCAAATACTATTTAAAAATGTGAGATTTTGTATCAGTTATATATTTTAGTAAATTATGATTGATTATAGTCAAATATTAGTGATAGTACAAACATATATTGTTATACAATTAATTTCATATACTAATAAGATGAAAAATAAATATGTGTTTAAGTGGAAGCTATACAAAACAAAAAATATAGAGTAAAGAGTTGGAAAAATCCACATGTACCCATTTGATTTACAGTCAACATAACAGTGTATATGATCTGAAACTTAAATTACAACGGTTTTGTGAAGAAAAAAGACCAATCAAAACTTTTGTTCTGCTAATCAACCAAAGTTTAAATTAAGAAGATGAAGAGAAACCTAACATTTTACTATGTAAATGATTAATAAAGCATAAATGGACTTTGTAAGACCCTAGTAGTTATTATATACTTATATAAATATAATTATTTACGTAAAATATAGAACTATTATATTGATTTCTATATAAAAAATTCTTAATTATATTATATAGTTTATAAAATTATAATATATAGTTTATAAATATACAAAATTGAACAAACATTGTTACTTTCTCTAGTTTCAACAATTAGTAACCATAAATTATTATTTCGATATTATTTAGATAGTGTGGACAGTTATATTAATTGGTTCTTAACTTAGTTTTATTTTCTGAATCTGTCAGAATAAATAACAAAATTAAATTATTGAAAATTCAAATAATAATAATTTTTTTATGATTTCAATGATGAATGGTATATAGACAAGTCACTAAAGACTTATCTTATCTTTTAATACATAATTTCTAATTTTATTTAAAAATGATTTGTATGTTATGGTAAATAGTTTTAAAACTCTGAAAAATAATTTTTTAAGTCATGATAAATACTTGTTTAAATGTTTTTGAAATCTCTATAAATAATTTATGAAACATGTATGGCCTTTATAAGACATAAATAGTTATTATATACTTATATACAAAAATAGTTCTTTGTGTGATAAAACATTAATATTCTTTCAATAAATTTGATAATTAGTTACCATAAATCCTTATATTGAATATTTATTTAGATTATTTGGAGATCATATCAACTTGTTATAGACTTCTCTGTTATATTTAGTTATAGTTAAAATAAATCAAAACTAAATATCATCCACCCCTCATATTATAAGCATTTTTCGTAAGACTTCATTAATGATCAATATGTAAGCAAATGTCACTTAGATGATTTCTCAATTAATGTATAAGATGATGTAGATATATTTGCATGGTTACGTCACAAAAGAGATGGTTTGATACTGGTTTAATAAAAATTAATGAAAATATACTTTTTAACCGGTTTTATAAAATATACTTAGGTTAGGGTCGTTACATACTTGTCCACCGTAGTCACCATATGTTATTTTTCTATACACATTTTGGATTCACTCATACAGTTATCATGAATTATTTCACGATAAATCACCAATCTTTTAACTATTTAAACTCAAACACACTTAGCTATATGTGTGCCTTAAAGACCCAAAGTTTGATTTGTCTAATTATGTCACTAAAATATCCATATTTTGGTGATAAACAAATTACTATTTAAAGTCTTTTACATACCCTACCATAAAATCCGAATACTACAATATCATCAGATGAAAGTTATCAGCAAAAATAACATACATGGAAAATCCAGAGATCAAATGCATCCTATCATTTGATCCCTCTCTGCACCACCACAGAGTTTAATCCCAACTCGAACAAAAAACTCTAATCAATTCATCAAAACACTTTTTCTAATTGGGAACTATAGCTTAATGCAAAAACTTCATTGTTACAGAATTCGCATGAACAGAAATGATCTATAAAAATATCCATCCATTTATTTTTGAAGGATCAATATATGTAGACTTGTAGTTATGAAATGATGGACGAGAAGCTCATATAAGCTATGTTTGGTTTCGAGGTTGCTACAACTTCATTGCTGTGATTGCAGTTTGCTATCAGAGTCGAAACTTGTTATTCCTTTTATGGTCATCCGATTGATTGCAACAACAATCGCAAGTCCTTTTTCTATATAACAGAATATTTAGCAACCTAAATTAAAAAAAAAAAAAAACATATCTGGTGGCAGACCGCGATCGTAACATACTGAATTGACTCGAGTTTATTAGACCGGATGACCGACGCAGCAAACCGAACCGAATTATAAATCGAGAGGTATTAATGTAACCTAAATATCCGAATCATTAAATTATTAGGAGTCGTATAATGAAGGGAAAAGGGCAATGAGTCATATCACTTGGCACAAAGAGAAGAAGCACATGAGAAAACACATAAAGCGAGGCCAAGGATTAAACGTGGAGGAGGTGATAGCCAACAAATACAAATTACCCGGATCAGTGACGTGGCTAAATATATTTGAAATCCCGCCTAAACCCCTCAGTTTTTACATTTCGTGCGAAATTCAATTTTTTGACCAAAAGATCCCTCCACTAGTCCCCCCCTTCCCCTCTAATCTCTTGGCCTCTCACTTGAATCTGCGTACAAATCACGAACACGTTGAACTCCTTTTTTGCTCTCTCCTCTCTCTCTCAAACCTTACGATCTTCGTTAAGGTAATTTTCCTCCGATCTTATTACTTTTCTCGTCTCGTTTATATTTGATTTGCGATCCGTTTTGGTGATATTGTTTTATACATGTTGACTTTTGTAAGGTTTGATCGTAGGAATAGTTTCGTTACCTTTTCGAATTCCTCTCGATATTGTGAATCGATTTGTTTAGGTGATAATTTTGTACGTTATCGCTTTTGTGGCTAGAACCGAATATTCTCTAGCTTCTTCGCTGATCCCTTTGAGACGTTTGCAGATTCGATTATGAAAGGAGCTAAATCAAAGACTGAAACCAGGAGCTCTAAGTAAGTTTCAGCCACATCGATTTGTGATTTTTTTTTGTTGACTCTGCTTACGTCTAGCTAATTCATAGATCTGTGGTGATAGGCTCTCTGTGACTAAGAAGCCTGCGAAGGCAGCAGGCCGTAGCAAAGCAGCGGCTAAGGATCCTAACAAACCAAAGAGGCCAGCCAGTGCCTTCTTCGTTTTCATGTAAACCGATTCTTCAAAATTTTCTGTGTTCCAGTAGTTTTCCATTGATTAAACTTTTTGCTCGTTCAAAAGTTTTTTCATCTGGCTACTACGAATTCTTTTATAGGTGAGATATGAGTAGAGAATCCTTTGTCTATTATTGTGAAGTTAAATGTATCTGATAATTATTACATTAATCATTCCCCTTTTTATTTGATTGTTTTTGAATTCCCCGTTTTGTTTGATTGTTATTGAAAATTTTAATTATGTTTACATTATTGTTTCTACCTGTGCTTTGTGTTAATACTGACGTTGACTTTTTTTGTGATATTTAGGGAAGATTTCCGTCAGACTTTCAAGAAGGAGCATCCCAAGAACAAATCTGTTGCTGCTGTGAGTGTCTTCCTTCTTCTTCATACTTTAAAAAAATCTTTTGTACCTTAGCTTCTTGATCTCTAAAAGGTTTACTGACTTTGAATTTTAATTGATAAACAGGTTGGAAAAGCTGCTGGAGACAAGTGGAAGTCCTTGTCAGATGCTGTATGTTCTCTCTCCAAAATTGTCTTTTGAATATGTTGTTTTCTTACGTAAGTCTAATACCTGTGTGTTTTACCAATACTTCAGGAGAAAGCACCTTACGCTGCTAAGGCTGAGCAGCGCAAGGTTGACTACGAGAAGAACATGAAAGCTTACAACAAGAAACTGGTAAGTCTAAGTGTCAATTTATATAATGGTTGGTGATTTGAATCGTTGAACAATCATATTGATTTTTTTTTATGTGGTTCTCAGGAGGAAGGCCCAAAGGAAGATGAGGAGGAATCTGAGAAGTCAGTGTCAGAGGTTAATGATGAAGATGATGCTGAGGATGGTAGTGATGAGGTTAGTGGCTGATCTTTTTTTAGTCATTATACATCAGTGTCGTTGGTGTATACAAAGAGCTTTGTTTTGATTCTGTGTCGTTGGTGTATTACCTGTTGCAGGAGGAGGACGATGACTAATAAGTTGAACTGAAGTTTGTAACATTAGTATAGATGGCTGCAAAGTTCTCTCTGGTTGTTTTTATCTTAAAATGTTTATGGGTTTGATTAAAAGGTGTCTTTATCTTTCTTTTTGTTTTGGTACTTCCACAACCTCTCCCTGTTACCAAAGCTC